CAAAGTAAACCATGATCTACGCTTTTTCGTTCTATTCTCCGGCCCAATTCGTCGCAAGGTTAATATGATTTTTTTTCTTCAAAACGCAAGAATGGACAAGAATAACAATAGGATTGTGGTCAGTAACTTGAACATTTATTGTTTTCGTTATGAGAATTATGATGTCTCTTTGCCGTTCAGTTTTTCTAGTTCCAAGCAAAACGACGAAAGCGACATATTATTGCGTGTTGGATCAGGCATGACCATGTCGGTGAACCGACTGCACAAACGATTTTTCCAAAAGCTCATTAATTTTAATTCGTTGCACATAATTTGTGTTGACAGAAACTCTTTGAGCCCAGGAAACTTTGTGGTGGACCACTTTTTGCCAATTGTTATGAGAAAAACTTGTCGAGAGGTGTGCTTGCAATTCAAAAATGATGCATTTGTCACTGGATCCATTCTATCCAAGTATAGGCACATTCAAGCGGAAATTTCAGCGAATTTTTCATTTGTAATTTGGACTGGCAGCAATCATGAAATTCTACGAAAATATCTTGTGCTATTCATGAAGAGTCGTTCGTCACACTGTGAACCCCTTTCATTCGCTAACCTTCCCATTGGGGTGATCAAAGAAATTCTCCCTTTTATGTCCGAAAAAATAATCCTCGAACTAGACTACGGTAATTGGGAGAATTTCGCGGATTGTCTTAAACTTTTTGTCAGAAACAATTGCTTGCACGAAAAACTTTCAATAATTTTTCACGGAGATCCAGGAAACACGCGTACATTGAGGTTCGAACAACTCATTGCACTTTTTCTGGAGTTTCAGCTTTTGCTTCTTGAAAAGAAAAAGATTTCAGACGATAAGCAGATGCTAATCTTTCATGGACCTTCATCTATTTCTCGCTATGAAATCTTGATGCGTTTTAAAACTGAGTGGTCATTGGTTCACATTCTTGTAAAAATTCGTTAAAAGCTCAATTTATTGATTCTATTTTGTTATTGAGAACGTATTGTTCCTAATCTCAACATTTCAACAGGTCAAACTTGATAAATCAGTGAAGCCTAATTTTTAATTAATGAGTAAATATCATAATTGTTTATTGTTGATTGATTGATTGTCGTTTGATTTGTTAATCATTGTTATTTATAAGTTTTGATCACAATAAAGTTGATTTAAAATTTCTCAAGCAACAAAATCAACACCTACAGGGTTTCCTTTCAAAAACGAGAAAAAGTGAAAAATGAACAGTATTTATGTGTGTTCATCACAAAAAAACTTTTCACTAATTGTGAAAATTCGAAAAAAATAAGAAAAGCTTTGCAATTTTTGATTTCTTAAATTTAGATTTAGATAGATTCTTTCGGTACCGACAGAGCACAGTGAAAAAGAGATTTCTACTGTGCTCTATCCCCGGGGATAGAGTACAGTGAAAAAAAGATTTCTACTGTGCTCTATAGAGCACAGTAGAATAGAAGAATCTACAATAACTTTACCCCCGACAAAGTCTTGGTATAATCGAAGAATCTACAAGGACTTTGCCCCGAACAAAGTCATCGTAGAACAGTTTTCTAGTGTGCTCTATCCCCAGGGATAGAGCACAGTGAAAAAGAGATTTCTACTGTGCTCTATCCCCGGGGATAGAGCACAGTGAAAAAGAGATTTCAACTGTGCTTTATCCCCGGAGATAGAGCACAGTATAATAGAAGAATCTACAATAACCTTACCCCGGGCAAAGTCTTGGTATAATCAAAGAATTTACAATAACTTTATCCCCGGCAAAGTCTTGTTAGAATCAAAGAATCTACAATGACTTTGCCCCGAACAAAGTCATCGTGGAACAGTTTTCTACTGTGCCTTATCCCCGGAAATCATGAGAACATGTAAACTGATTCGAATATTGAGTAAATGCTGCATTTTTTTCAGAAATCTCTTCTATTTATGGCCCTTTCGTTGCCAAGGGCGAAAAAAAACCGACGAAAAAACTGATGGACATTGGAAAAGCTGTACAAGGTGAAACTAAAAGTTTTTTCTGAATCTAATAGGGCTCATCAGGATCATAGGGCATCTTCTGATCTCCCAAAAGATCTCATGGGATATAGTTCAATTCGATATGAAATATGATATAGAATCCCCGATCTCTTATGTAATATCATGGTGTATCGGTCGATCCTATATGAGATAGATTCCTCCTAAGATCTCAGATCTCTACCCCATAAGATCTCTACCCCATGAGATGTCTACCCCATGAGATGTTTAATTTATATTGTGAAATCTTAGTTTTTAGTAAATCTTTAGTCAAAGTTCACCTACTTATCTGAAAGGGTCGATCCATTTAAAAGGTCTATAACTCAAGATGTAAGAGTGCAATCGACTTCTGCTTATTATCATTAGAATCTACGTTAAATTTCAGTAAAGAAATGTAAAACTTGTTTTGTAAACTTACTAATAAAATTATGAAGAAAATCAAGTTCAAAGGTGAAGAATTGTCTGAAATAGAAAAAGTAGAGAATCAGAGTTAGACTACTCTTCTCTTTTGTCTTGTATCTCCACTTCTGATTAACGGATCGACTTGCAATTGATCTTAAAATATGCCTTATGAAATTTGGTCATAGGAAACCACGACTTAACCCCTAGATACCTAACCCCTAGGTAGCTAACCCCTAGGTACCTAACCCTTAGGTATCTAACCCTTAAGTACCTAACTCTTAAGTACCTAACCCTTAGGTGCCTAACCCTTAGGTACCTAACCCTTAAATACCTAACCCTTCGGTACCTAACCCTTAGGTACCTAATTTTTTGGTACCTAACTTTTTGGTACCTAACCCTTTGGTACCTAACCCTTAGGTACCTAACCCTCAGGTACCTAACCCTCAGGTACCTAACCCTTAGGTACCTAACCCTTAGGTACCTAACTTTTTGGTACCTAACTTTTTGGTACCTAACTTTTTGGTACCTAACTTTTTGGTACCTAGAGGTTAGTACTAGAGTTCAAGACCTTAATCCTTGAGGATGGTGCCATCCTCAAGGATGGTGCCATCCTCAAGGATGGTACCATCCTAGACAATGGCAGTAAAGGATGGTACCATCAAGGATGGTACCATCCTTGAGGATGGTACCATCCTTAAGGGTTAGGTACTTAAGGATTAGGTACTTAAGGGTTAGGTACTTAAGGGTTAGGTACCTAAGGGTTAGGTACTTAAGGGTTAGGTACTTAAGGGTTAGGTACCTAAGGGTTAGGTACCTAAGGGTTAGGTACCTAAGGGTTAGGTACTTAAGGGTTAGGTACTTAAGGGTTAGGTACCTAAGGGTTAGGTACCTAAGGGTTAGGTACCTAATGGTTAGGTACCTAAGGGTTAGGTACCTAAGGGTTAGGTACCTAAGGGTTAGGTACCTAAGGGTTAGGTACCTAAGGGTTAGGTACCTAAGGGTTAGGTACCTAAGGGTTAGGTACCTAAGGGTTACGTAAGAGTATTAAGAGGGTAACCTAAGAATATAATGACTTCGGGGGCAAAGTCATTATAGATTCTTCGATTCTACGATGACTTTGCCCGTGGCAAAGTCATTGTGAATTCTTCCAGCAAAGTCATTGTAGATCCCATGGTATTACTCTTAATAAATCCATCTCTTTGATTAAGAGTAATTCCGCGGGGATTACTCTTAGTAAATCCCTCCCTGTTATTAAGAGTAATCCCACGGGGATTACTCTTGGTAAATCCCTCTCTTTTGCTAAGAGTAATCCCACGGGGGTCATTCTCTTCTTCTTTTCTCCAAATCTTAACTTCTAGTTGACGGATCAAAATGATTTTGGTCTTAAAATGTTTCTTATAAAATTTCGTTATAGAAACCCATAACCTACTTCACATTTTATCATAGAGACATGGAGAAAATCTCGATAAAAGTTAGATCAGCAACCTGGTGGAAGGTTCGGTACTTTGTGCTTACCAGGAAACATACTGCCGCCTGGCCCAGGGAACCTGGGGGCAGGTTACCTGAGGGCAGGTTTGGTACTTTGTACTTACCAAGAAACATACTGCCGCCTGGCCCAGGAAACCTGGGGGCAGGTTACTTTTTCATATTTGTAAAAAATTTTAGAAAAATAGATGTTATTTCTTAGTGAATTTTACATTAAAATTTTCATAAAAATCGGAAAAAAAGAACATGTAGCCGCCCCGCAAGTATTTTAGCTAGTATTTTTTACATTTATTTAGCTATAGCGTTTTTTTGGTTTCAGATTTTTGCAAATAATGAACGCTTGATTTGCTTTCCTTCCTTTCTCAATACTCACCATCAACAATAGCTTTTTCGGTTTTTTGTAGCATTGCTTCTCTGTATTTTATTTGGAGGTACGATTTCTTAGAGTGTTTCTTATAATTTTTTATTTGATAAATATTATTTGATTATTTGGTAACATACTCAAGAGAGATGTATCACATGCACTGAAGAAAACTAAATTCAAATTTTCAGACATTTGCCTAGCGGATGAAAACAGATAAAAAAAATTAAGTGGAATGGGAGGTTTCACCACATCCGCCGTATGCTCCCAATTTGACTTCCTCAGATTACCATTGATTCTGGTCGATTCAAAACTTTTAGTCCATGAGAAATTCAAAAACCGTGAAGATGTTCAAAATTGGATCGCCAAATTTCTCGAATCACAGCAGGCTGAATTTATTAAGAGCGACATCAATTCTTTACGCAAAAGATGACAAGAAGTCATCAATAATAATATGTTGAATATGTTCTTGATTAAACTGTCTTGTTTCTGTTTTGAAAATAAACCTTGTCAACGTTTATAACGTTGTTTTATATCGGAACAATCTAACCAAGACCAAAGATATATAATTTTGTATTGGATATATGTTTAAAGGATGAAGGATATATTTTTGAAGGATATATATTTGTGTTAATCAAAGAAACAATTTTTAAAAACCTCCACCTCCTTTATTAAAAAAATACAATCAAAATATATTTTACAGTCTCTTGGGGTATGATATTGATAGCTTGAGGACGTCTACTGACGAAGGTGCACATGTGAAGGATGCCTGCATCTAGCTGAAAGAAAAAGATGAATGCATAATTCATAAATTATACCTCCAAAGTAGGCCAATTGTCCGGGAGCGGAACCCGATTGGTTATTACCATTTACGGGATTCCTCACCTCGAAGCTCAACACCATGTGGATTTCATCCCAAATGTTCACCTATAACACAATATCAGTCTTAGAAATAAACATAATGAAAACTTACTCGGAATCCCAAATCCCAGAAAGTTTCGCGCCTGACCGTCAGGTAAGAGTAGTAAATATCAGTGGCTTAAGTTTACAATGAATGATTTCAAAGATTTAAATGAGATAAAAGAAAATCTCACCATCTTGATCGATCATAAGCCAAAAGTCTTGGTACTGCCTGTTGGGTGGGATTATATAAAAACCATCAAGATCAAGAGCATGAAGGGGTTGGATAGCTACAGAACCCAAGTTGTCCGGAAACTTAAAGAAATAATATACAAAAATCTGTAAAATGTTTCATTAGGTGAAAGGTGATGCCTACTTCAATTAATAAATCTAATACAATAAACGATAGAACTAAAAAAACTAAAGCAGCTAAAACTAACACGAACGTGAATCGGTTGAGACTTATGCAAATTTCTGATCCGAATGTAAACATACTGGTGTTGAAACTTTTCAACTGTGAATTTCTAAAATGACAAAATGAACTTTAACAAGAAATATATAAAGTAAATAAACTTTACCGGATATTCAAGATTGGGGTTGAAGACATCCGATTCACCCAAAATCTCGAGCAAGAGATTACGAACCGTCATCATCCGGGGCTAAATTTTTAAATCTTTTCCTTCGATCAAGAAATTAACAGTTAAACCATAAAATCATAAGTGTGACCAAAAAAGTGTCTATTATCTTAAACTTCAAACAAAAAAACCAATGTAAAAGCGGTCAAAAGAAAGATTATAAAAAACCCACGCGAGATTGAGCTGGTAAACGTTGTTGAGACATCATGAAGAGGAGAATGAGATGATCCAAGAAACCATTGGGACGGATTTTATATCTCGCTTCAATGTAAATTTCCGAAATTTAAATGCAGATCTTATAGTATTATCACAGGCTTGTATGCAATAAAGTACTTGTTTATCGGTGTTTCGCAAATGTATTTCCTTCTAGCCCATTGAGTGTTTTATCGTCCAATTGGATATGCTAAAATAAAACCTTCTATAGAAACAGTTAATCAAGCAACAACCTTACTAATCACACTAAGCAAACACTTATCTCGACGTTGATCCTAATTTTCTCTATGTTTTTATCGGTAAGTCTACAAAATAGATTCTATATTTCTTTACTCAAATTTCATGTAGATTCTAATAAAAATAACCAGAGATTGATTTAGCTTTCACATTTTGAGTTATAAACTTTTTAAATGAATCCATTCTTTCAGTTAAGTAGTCCAGCTTTGACTGAAAAGTTCTCTATGTTTTTATATTAGAGTTTACTAAGTAAATTGTACTTTTCTATAACCAAATTTCATAAGTAACATCTTAAAACCAACTACAAGTTGATTCGACAATTAGAGGTCGAGATATGAAGGAAAAAAGCGAACTAGTTCCACTCAACCTAACAATTGTTAAAGAGAAAGAGTACCTTTTGTTAGATAACTACAAAATCTGGTGAAATGAATGTCTATCTCTCATTAGATCCGAATGAGAGGAGATTGGCTCAGGAGCTTTGAAACATTTATTTTGGAATTTTAAATTAAATTCGGTTAAGTATTTAACTCCTAGGTAACTGACTCCCAGGTAGCTAACCATTAAGTATCTAACCCTGAGTGAGGGGTACTGATTCGAATCAGAGTGCTATTGGGGATGGGATTCGTGGGTACGGGATTCCTGGGGGGTAGGATTAAATAACAAACTTATTAAATAAAGATGACTACGATGGCTTTGCCACGGGCAAAGTCATCGTAGAATCGAAGAATCTACAATGACCTTGCTCCGAACAAAGTCATCGTAGAATAGTTTTCTACTGTCCTCTATCCCCGGGGATTTGTAGTACTACAAACTTTTAAGTTTGCAGTACTAAAAGCCTTTTCAATACATACTGCAAACTGCAAACTTGAAATAGGGAATCTAGGGTTTGCTTACGCTTTTTACCATATACTCACGGTAACCCTAGATTCCCACCTACAGAAATTTAGTCCAACTTTGACCGGGATTTTCTTTACGTTTTTATGCTAAAGTTACTAAGGAGATTGTGAATTTCGGGTGCAAAATTTTATAAGGAACATTTTAAGAACAACCACAAGTTGATCGGTTAACTGGAAGCGAAGCTATGTCGAAAAAAGAGAGGATACCCCGAGAAAATCTGCCTACCCCCCCTAGGCAAATGTCTTATCCAGTAGGCACTTATCCGACTTTGACCTTAATTTTATCGAGGTTTTTATTGGTAAGTCTATAAAACAAATAAAACATTTTGAAAGTCAAATATTGTGTAGATTCTAATAAAAGTAACCACTAGTTGATTGAACTATTAGATCTTGAGTTATAAGCTTTTTAATTGAACCTAGCCTTTTGGAAAAGTAGGTCAACTTTGACCTAAAATTTCTCTATGTTTTTATATTAAGGTTAACTATGTAAGCTATAGTTTTCTAAAATAGAATTTCGTTAGCTACATTTTAAAACGAACCACAAGTTGATCGGTCAACTAGAAGTGAAGATAAGTATAATTCTTGAGGATTTTACCATCCTCTCGAAAGGTATGGAGTAACGGTTAAAAAGGTAGGGTGCAACCTTTTTAAAATCTATTTTGCTCTATGTTCCTTTGGTAATTCTACAAAACAAATGATACATCTCTAGACTCAAATTTCATGTAGATTCTAATAAAAGTAACTGCGAGTTGATTCGACCCTTAGATCTTGAGTTATAGATCTTTAATTGAACTTACCCTTTTAGAAAAGTAAGACAACTTTGACCAAAGATTTCCCTATGTTTTTATATTAAGGTTGACTCAGTAATCTATAGTTTTCTAAAATAGAATTTCATTAGCTACATTTTAAAACCCACCACAAGTTGATCGGTCAACTGAAAGTGAAGATAAGTAGAAATGTTGACGATGGCACCATCCTCTCAAAAAGCATGGGGTAACTTTAAAAAGGTAAGGTCCAACCCTTTAATATCTATTTTGCTCTATGATTCCTGGGTAAGTCTACAAAACCAATGATATATTTCTAGACTGAAATTTCGTGTAGATTCTAATAGAAATAACCGCTAGTTGATTCGACTATTAGATCTTGAGCTATAGACGATTTCATTAAATCACCTCTATAAAATTTATGAGATTTGATGAAAAGTGGTACTTTTTGTAGGAAAGCCTTAATGTTAAGTGCAAATTCGGATTCTCCATCAAAAATTGAGCTTAGAAAAATGTTTTTTAGCATACTTCTTTATCTTCACTTGTCTTTAGGTCGAAAAGTCTTGTAGTGAGTCTGTCTCCTATAACTGATCTCTGCACTATATTTGCATTTACCATAGAATTGAATAAAATCTTTACTCAATTCTTAGATTCTTTCATTCTACGATGACTTTGCCCGGGGCAAAGTCATTGTAGATTGTTCCATTTTACGATGACTTTGTTCTGGGCAAGGTCATTGTAGATTCCTCGATTGTAGCAAGACTTTGCCCGGGGCAAAGTCATTGTAGATTGTTCCATTCTACGATGACTTTGTTCCGGGCAAGGTCATTGTATATTCCTCGATTGTAGCAAGACTTTGCCCGGGGCAAAGTCATTGTAGATTGTTCCATTCTACGATGACTTTGTTCTGAGCAAGGTCATTGTAAATTTTTCCATCCTACGATGACTTTGCTCCGGGCAAAGTCATCGTAGAATAGAAGAATCTACAATGACCTTGCCCCGAGCAAAGTCTTCGTGGAATCGATCCTTAGGGATCAAATCTAAGCTTGACATTAACTTAAAACAAATCAAGGGTTAACTAACAAAAAGCATTTTTTTTACTTAATAATTGTACTAACAATTGTACGGAGCTTAGAAAAGGTCGGCATATATACAAGTCTTGATTAATCATTTTTACAGAAAGATTTAATTTAACATATTCAATTGGGCGATGAAAGACTCGATGAGTTGGCAAAAAATCCATTTGTGAAACATCGATGAACAAACACTTTATTGTATACAAGTCTGTTATAATATTATAAGATTTGCATTTAAATTTCTTAAATTTACATTGAAGCGATATATAAAATGCACCCCGATGGTTTGTTGAATCATCTCATTCCTTCGCGATGAATCAATCAGATGCAGCACTTCGGCTTCGCGTGGGTTTTTTATAATCTTTCTTTTGACCGCTTTTACATTGGTTTTTTTGTTTGAAGTTTAAAATAATAGACAATTTTTGGTCACTCTTATGATTTTATGGTTCAACTGTTCGTTTCTTTATCGATGCAGAAAATTTAAAAAATTTAGCCCAAGCTAATGATTGCTCGTAATCTCTGGCTCCAGATCTGGGGTGAATCGGATGTTTTCGAGCCCGATCTTCAATATCCAGTAGAGTTTAGTTTATTTTAATTTTATTTTGTCATTTTAGAGATTCACAGTTGAAAGGTTTCAACGTGTTTACATCCGACTCCAAAATTTACATGAGTCTCAACCGATTCACGTTCGTGTGGGTTTTTTTATTCTATCGTTTGTTCGATTAGATTTTTTAATTTAAGTAGATGTCATTTTTTATCTAATGAAACATTTCACATATTTCCGTATATTATTTCTTTAAGTTTGCGGACAACTTGGATTCTATAGCTACCGGACACCTTCATAATCTTGATCCTGATCGTTTTCGTATAATCCCACATAGCAACTCCCAAGACAACAACTACCAAGACTTTTCGCTTATGATCGATGCAAATAGTCAGATTTTCGTTATTTGATTTAAATCTTTGAAATCATTCATTGTAAATTTAAGATACTGGTGTTCACTATTCTTACCTAACGGTCAGGCGCGAAACTTTCTGGAATTTGGGATTGCGAGTAAGTTTTCATTATGTTTATTTCTAAAACTGATATTGTGTTATAGTTGCCCCTCTGGGATGAAATCAAAATGGTGTTGATCTTTGAGGTGAGGAATCCTGTAAAGGGTAATAACCAATCGGGTTCCATTTCGGTACAATCTGCTTACTTTGCAGGTATGATTTTGTTCTTTTTAAATTTAAATTATTAAATCTTCTTGTTAGGTGTGCCATCAGGACCTTCGACAAGTGTGATAGCTGCTCTTCCAGGAATCGAAATGTTCCAGAACCTCTGGGGATGTATTTTCGATTTTGAGAGTTATGCCTTCATCTTTTTCTTTCAGCTGGAAGCAACCCCTACACGTGTTAACGCCATCAGACTTAAAGAGGCTCAAAAATTATTTTATATAAAAATCTTTTTGTATTGATAATAAAGGTGGTGGAGGCTTTAAAAAATTGTATCTTTGATTATCACAAAAATATATTCTTCACTATAACAAAATTATATATCCCTGCTTCTGTTAGGTTATGCGAATGTAAACCAACATTTTAGGCCTTAACAAGATTTATCTTAAAAACAGAAACAACACATTTTAATCAAAAATATATTGATCATTATTATTGATTATTTCTTGCTATCTTTGGCATAAAGAAGTGAGGTCGCTTTTTAAAAACCGAGCTGGTTGTAACTTGAGAAACTTAGAAATTTTCAATATCTTCAAGGCTTCGCCCTTCAAGGGTTAGATATCTAACCCTTAGATTTTCTATCTTTAATTAGATTAGAAAGGAAAATTAAGTGTTTTGATTAGTTGGATTACCATGGTTGTTGCTTGATGAATCGTTTCTACAGAAGATTTTAATTTAGTATATCCAATTGGGCAATAAAAAACTCAATGGACTGAAAGAAAATCCATTTGTGAAGCACCGGTGAACAAAGACTTGATTCCATACAAGCCTGTTATAATATAATATAAGATTTGCATTTAAATTTCGGAAATTTCTATTGAAGCAAGATATAAAATGTCCCCGAATGGTTTGTTGAATCATCTTATCCTCTTCGTGATGACTTAACAACCTGCACTACTTGAAAATCTTGTACTTTTTTTATGATTTTTCTTTTGACTATTTTTACCTTGGTTATTATAATTTAAATTATTTGTCACTATAACTATTTAAAGATAAAGTTAGGCTTTGTGAGAGGTAACTTTTTGTTGAGGGCAGATGTAAAATTTATAAGAGGTTAGCAAAATATAACCTCAATTATTTTTGATGCGAAAATTTCTAGGGTTATTTTTATTGGATGTTTCATTATCAACTTCATCATTTTCAGTACCACATCAAGAAATTAATGACTGGGAAAGCATTTATTTGCCTACCACATTTTCACAAAACACAAATTATAAACAAATTGGAAGTTTTTCAAGCTCTTCAATTATTAAAAGTAAATTATGATTTACGTTCATTTATTCTACGTTGTGGACCAATTCCGTTAAATCTCAAATTTATCAATGTGATCCTGGTGAATTTGGTCGAGAGAGGTAACGGTCAAGTGATGGCCGATTCTATAGAAATTTGGGTAAAACCGTATGTTGGTTTTCTACTTTATTTTTTCAGTGTGGAAGAAACTTTTTTTAAAACAAATTATTCTGGCATAATACAACCCGCACAAATGTGGTACAATCCAAAGGCAAGTTATCCACTTCATCGACGACTTTTTCAGAAACTTGCACATTTTACTGACTTACATATAGAATGTATTAATAGAATTGAAACGAAGATGACAAAATTTCATGTTCATAAGTTTTTACCCGTTAAACCGGGAATGCCTTTGCGAAACATTGGCCTCAATTTTGGAAAAATAAATATAAACTTGAACATCTTGCAAGCACTTCTCTCAACATTTGACATGCTTCAAATAAATACATCCATTAACTTCATGGTATCAAGTGAAATTTCTGTTCAGACTAACCATGAAATCATGAAATTTATGGAAAATCGCTGGATATTACGTTCAATTTGTTTAATTGATTTTCCTTTTAATATGATTAAAGAAAAACTTTCTTCAAAACTGAGTGAAAATGTATTTCTTCAATTAATGCATCATAATTTGGAAAATTTTGTGAATTCCGTGAAATTCTTTCTGAACAGTAATTGTTTCAATAAAGAATTATGGATTACTTTTTATGATTATCAAATAGAAAACCGGACTCTGATACTTAAACAACTCACTACTGCATTTCTTCAAAATTATTTTTGTCTTGTTGAGAATAAAAAATCTGAAAATATTGAAGAAATACTTATTTTTCATCGTTTTCCATATAATTTCCAATTTCGAGTTACAATCTATGACATAAAATATATTGTAACTAAAGAATTTTATTGATCAATGATTTAAAAAATTTTATGTTATAAACTCTTTCCCTTTTTTTTGTAATTAATTTATGATTAGATTTATTTAATTCTTGTAATTTTTTTAAATTTAATAAATAATTTAAATAATTATTTCTAATAATGTTGCTATTAAAAATCTAAGGGTCGAATCAACTCGCAGTTACTTTTATTAGAATCTACATGAAATTTGAGTCTAGAGATGTATCATTTGTTTTGTAGAATTACCAAAGGAACATAGAGCAAAATAGATTTTAAAAGGCTATGAAATCTTGATGCGTTTTAAAACTGAGTGGTCATTGGTTCACATTCTTGTAAAAATTCGTTAAAAGCTCAATTTATTGATTCTATTTTGTTATTGAGAACGTATTGTTCCTAATCTCAACATTTCAACAGGTCAAACTTGATAAATCAGTGAAGCCTAATTTTTAATTAATGAGTAAATATCATAATTGTTTATTGTTGATTGATTGATTGTCGTTTGATTTGTTAATCATTGTTATTTATAAGTTTTGATCACAATAAAGTTGATTTAAAATTTCTCAAGCAACAAAATCAACACCTACAGGGTTTCCTTTCAAAAACGAGAAAAAGTGAAAAATGAACAGTATTTATGTGTGTTCATCACAAAAAAACTTTTCACTAATTGTGAAAATTCGAAAAAATAAGAAAAGCTTTGCAATTTTTGATTTCTTAAATTTAGATTTAGATAGATTCTTTCGGTACCGGCGGTTATAAGCCCGGCGGTTATAAGAGGTTATAAGCCCGGCGGTCTTGATATGTGGTTATGTGCCCCGCAGCCCTCATATATGGGTATAGATCCCGCAAAAAATTACATTTAAAAGTTTGCATAAATCCATTACCTTATAAATGGTTATAGGCTTAGGTTTAGACACAGAACCACGTATTAAGACCGCAGGGCTTCTAACCCTTAGACGCAATGTTATGTGAAACGGACTTTGGAAATATTACGTAATTTCTAAAGACATCATTGAAATTTTTATAAAAACATATTTGGATTGCGAGTTGAAGAAGGGAACTCTGAAAAATGGCTCAGGATTAGGATTAGGTTTAGGCTTAGGCTTAGGCACATAACCATATATTAAGGCCGTGGGACTTATAACCCCTAAGTACCATCAACTTTTCTACTCCATTCTTTAGGGTTTCCAAAATATGACTGAAACCGATCAAACGATGCTACGAGACGCTTTTGAAGTGATTCACCAATCGACGCAACTTGTTAAGGTATGATTTTCCAGAGACATTGGTTTAAGAAGCTGAGAAGATTTCGAATGCATCTTCGTGGCTATCAGAGAATTTCAAGGGAAAATTTAAGTTGCACAAAATAATTATTTTAATTGTTTGCTTAGGACGCCGAATTGGCTGGAGATTTGCAACAACGCGAAGCAGACGAGAATGGACCAGCAAAGAAACGAAAGAAAGTGACCAAGACGCCCGATGACCTGAGAGACGAGAGATTGCAGGTATAAATAAGAAAAGTTTTAAGAGATCTAGAAATTGAAAATAAGACTTCTAAAAGTGATACTTTTTATGATTTGTGGTCACACACTTGCACACATTTTTCATAGAATTTCTGATTTTCCTTTCATTTAGAAACAAGCCGACTTGTTGTGGCAGCTGCGAAGCGGCTTCGCGAAGTGGCTCTCTAAAGATCAATGGTGCCGCCTCCTGGAAACGAATGGACTCGATGTACCGCAAGGAGGGCCGGATAAGGTAATTGGAGCTGAGATTTTTTGTCTTTTGGCAACTTGCTCATGATTCTAGATCCATAAGCATTTGTTTAGATTCTCGACCTGCTCACCGATGCTGCACTATTTGGGCGACCGCTTCGATGTGAGAAATGCTTGCAGGGACAACTCTTTTACAGGTTTCTTTTCACGGTGAAAGCTTCAGATTTAATCTTTCTTAGTACATCATCGCAAACATACCTCTGTACGGGACATCTGAGCGAGTGGACAAAGTGTACGGTGGCCGCGCGAAAGCCGAAACGATTGCCGTTTGGAGTGCCAAAAGATTTGAGTGCCGAGATTCCGTGGTTGATCGACGAAGCACCGTTGAATGTAAGAGATACATTATAATAGTAGACTTCTTTGAAACATGAAATAGTAAGAAACCCTAATAAACCCGAAACTAGCCCTAGTCATTTTAAAAGAAATATGCGTTCTTGTTTTTCAGGAACTCTCTGAGCGTTATTACAATGATAAACAAGAGGAGATTGTGAGGTGAGAAAATGTTCTAGAGAAGGATCAAATTCTGATTTAGTTCTAAGCGGACTTACCGCAACCGGGCAAGTACGGGTGGTGCAGATTTGGAGGCAGGAGACAAAATACGGGGTTAGATCACTTAATAGCACAGTACTTGTTTCTCTAGGTCGGGCAGACGTTGGCAAGGCGTACATCAAGAAGGGCACAACGGTGGATGCGGAATTTGAAAAGGCGGCCATCAGTCACGTGTGCAAGGATGATGAGGGTGAGGATTATTAGACAGGCTAATGATTAACTGTTTCTCAAAATTTTGCCCAGAACCTATAAGATTTCGGTTTTGAGGGAATCTCTACTCAGCGGCGCTTGTCGAGGCGGATATGGCCACAGGGCGAAACAGTTACTACAAGTTACAATTGTTGAAACACGATACAGCAAATATGTAAGCTAGTTATGAAAACTTGCGGGTGCAACAAATTTTTTAGCTTCTGGGTTTTCCGCTCGTGGGGACGCATCGGCACAACGCAAGGTGGCATCAAAACTGAGGAATTTCGATCGATGAAAGCCGGGGTGGCTGGATTTGAAGCGTAAGTTGAAATTGAAAGACCTTAAACCGAATTCTATTTATTTAGTGTTTTCCTCGAAAAGACCCAAAACGAGTGGCGAGATCGGAAATATTTCCGAAAGAAGGCCGGTGGCATGAATTGGATCGAAACAGACACGAGTGATGCGGTGAGTTGCAAGGAGAGGTTAAGGAACGTCTGTGTAGATGAGTAAACGATTCAAACCCAGTTTCAAAGTTTTCTGAAGCTTTCAGATTTGATTTTTCTTTTTTTACAGGCGAATGTCGAAGGAAATGTCATCCCGGGCAGTAAGACCGATTTGCCGAAACCGATCGTCGAAATTATGAAGATGATTTTCGACGTGAGCACAATGCAGGCCGCTTTGAAAGAATATAATGTGAGTGATCCACTTAATTTGCATCATTTATAACCTGTGAACTTGAGATTGACACGGAGAAGATGCCGCTCGGAAAGTTGTCCAAATCGCAGATCACCAAGGCGTACACCGTGTTACAGGAGTTACTTGAGGTAAAAAATGGTTACAATAAAGCTGTCAAAAATAAAAAAGTAAATGACTTAATTATGGTAATCTTTTCGTTAGATTAAAGCCAAATGACTGACCCGAAATTTTGAGTTTATAACAACCCTGTTCATAGAAAGATACCCTTTTAAAACTCTTGCTTTTCCAATGGATACTTGTTTATTTTAGCTCATCTCCGGCAAGGGCGCGGCGCGAAAAGATGAAATCCTTGATGCGTCGAACCGTTTCTACACCATCATCCCGCACAACACTCAACTCAAAATGTTGGACAATCCATCAGTGATCAAGGTTGGATAATGATTTTAAAAGAAGCATTTATTCGGCTGTTTTCAGAAAAAGACGGCCATGCTAGACTCGTTGCTGGAGATCATTGAGGCGTTTGCGATGGTGAAAAACAATCCAAATGATGAGGAGGAAAACGCGGAACGAGATCCCGTCGATGTGAATTATGAGAAGCTGAAGACGAAAATGACGGTGGGGAGTTTTAACTCTAAAATATATGTGGTCTTTATTCAGGTACTAGACAAATCGTCGGCCGAGTACAAAATGTTGGTGGATTACGCGAAGAAAACTCATGGACAAACACATAAACAATTGAAAGTCGACATCATTGATGTAAGTTTGCTTTAAGAAAGTCTTTAGCACTGTACTACACTATAAAAATCCTGGAAACTAGCCCTCAAAGATGCCAAAAGTTAGTACTGACTCATTTTTCCTTTATTCAGATCATCAAAATCGAACGCGAAGGCGAGGAGGCAAAATTCAAGAAGCAAGTCGGAAATCGAATGTTGTTGTGGCACGGATCGGGTACACCGAATTACGGAGGAATTTTGTCGCAAGGACTACGGATTGCACCACCCGAGGCACCAGTGGTGAGCATTGGCTTTCTAGCTCTGAAATTCTAAAGGTGGACCTAGCATGTACCGAACATTCGTTTAAATATCCTGGTAATAACATTTATGATATAAAGCTTTTTCTTTTAGAGTGGCTACATGTTCGGCAAAGGTGTTTACTTTGCTGACATGTTCTCAAAATCGGCCAACTATTGTCGAGCGCACAACGGAGAGGGATTACTTCTGTTAGCCGATGTGGCATTAGGGAAGGTTTGGATTTTAAAATGTACTATCGCAAAAATCATTGTTCAGATCAAAGAAGAGCCAGTGTCGATCACGCACACGGCCGCCACTATGACCAAGAATAAGACAAACTCGTGCAGGGGTGAGTGTACTTTAAAATTTGCTCCAGAAGTTTCACGTTTTATAGAAATTAGGATTGAATATTGTTTTTGAATTTTCTAATCATTTACCAATCTTTCTTTTTAGGTATTGGTGGAACGATTCCCGACCCGTCGACTCATGTGAATGACGCGAGTGGATACGTGATTCCGGTGGGAAAACCCATCGCTCGAGAAACAACCCGTGATGGAAAACCACAAATGCCATCACTTCTTTACAACGAGTGAGTTTTGCCGAGCTTTCTACTGCGTGATGCAAAGCAAATCACCGAATCATTATCCATTATTAGGTATATTTTATTTTTCTATTTCTAGGTACATTGTGTACGATGTCGATCAGATTTGCCTGCGCTACCTGGTTCGGGGAGCATTCCGGTGAAACTCCCCTTCTAAATGAATCAACGCTTTCACTGTAACTTTTGGATATTTTTCTTTCAATGAAATTTCTAAATGTCTCTACAATTTCTTCATATTATGGGCCTCATTTGATCTCTTTCTCTGCGAAAACAAGTAGCTTTTTGTGTTGTATCACTTTTGTTGTAAATTGCCCCGATTCATTTTTGGTTAGTTAATTTGTTCTGAATTTCACCCAATTCTCTTTAGTTTGACTCTGCATTGTGTAATTACCGATGTTTTTTCGGCAAAGTTCAAATTTCCCCCTTGTTCTCTTATCTTTTTTCATTACTGGTGATTTCCCGTTTGCTCTCTTTTTTCTTATACATCTATATTCATTTGTTTGTTTGCTTTAATCAGTTAACGCTTGACGCTTTATAGCCGAGTTTAGAGGATAGGATTTCTAAAATACATGTTTCTCGAAAGAATGCCTGATATTTTTTGGGGATTTTGCAAACGAATTATGGACTTGTGCGCTAACTTTGTGAAGTTTCTCTTACAAAGAGTTCAGGATTTATTTTTAGATATAATATGACATTAAAGACTGATGATGAAGAGGATCTATTGCGGTCATTTCTTGGAGGGCAGCTCGTCTTTAGCTGCACTTCTCCTTCTCCTTGTGCACCTGAAATGAAATTTAAAAAAATATTTTAATCAGTGCTTATTTTTAAAACATATACTGGCTTAAAAATAAACAATAATTATATTTTAGCTTTCTATCTAAACCCACGGCGATATCGAGAGTCACATAGGTCATATCGTAGATTCCGCTGTCGATGAACGATTGGGGGACCTCGTAGTCGCCGATTCGCTTGCATCCCTGGGAAAAGTAGATTAAGGTGAAATTTTATGTGTTACCTAATAGTATTTCGATCAAAACACACTAATTCTATCAAAAAATAGCTTACTGGCTTGGTGTTGCACGAGTGGGTGAGTCGGATGAAGGGCTCGATCTTGCCGACCTGGAATCTTTGGGGTCAAGAAAGGTTTTCTAGGCTACTCATGTGATTTATTATCCTTGAATCCTTGAATATAGTTTCATATTTCACTTAGTAGATTTGTTTGTAAAGTAGAATCGTAGCGGTGAAAAACTTTCAACGTTCAACTTTTTTGACTCTAGCGTTTAGAAATGTAGTCGCTTTGGCATACTGTAGCTATTTTCTGTGCTCACTGTAGCTTTGCATTAAACTCTACAATTAGAAATCTTTTTGATTGGTAGCTAGTGGGCTTACTATATGATATATTGTCTATTCTCACCCACCTCATCTTCTCCTCCGCTGATCTCGAACTCTCCGTCGGTGTTGGTGACAACGGTGGCGAGGAGATCATTTGGATCCACTGGGAAATCATTTTCAAGACAATTTTACAATGATCACAGAGATTTGGTGAGACTAGTGAGACGTTTTTCCTCAAATACTTACAAGTATCGCGATCGTAGAGCTCAACTTTCACATCGTGCGCTCGCTTCTTGTTGCAAATGGTGGTTCCCTGGAATTTGATTACGATTGTGGAAAGTTGAAATGAGAAATTTGATTTGATTTGTCGATTTCTAACTACAGTACACTTGGCTTCACTCAGTGGAAAGACAAAGACTTTGAAGACTTTAGTTAGCCGGGGGGAGGGGTTGTTTACTTTTCAGCGTAAAGTGCACACTTTTGATTTGACAGCCACCGTCTTGCGTTTAAAGTACAATTTATAACAAGTGATGGTTACGATACTAAAGTACAGTACGTGTAAATATTGGCGATACTTTGCGCCGAATTTTTGCGTTTCCGATAAAGTACTGTGATGCTGGTTATGCTAAAGTGCTAAAGTACTGTTGATACTAAAGTACTAAAGTACGATAAAGTACTGCTGGTTATACTAAAGTACTAAAGTACAGTACGCAAAAGCAGTGTAAATATTGGGGTTACTTTGCGCCGAATTTTTTTGCCTTTCCGATAACTTTCTTCTAAATCGGATAAAACTTTGTTTTTGATGATTTTGATGTGATTTTGTTGCACTTTTTGAGAGGAAATTGAGTTTTTTGTTATAAATTATAGATCTAAAGTATTAAATCGAAGACATTAGATCTAAAATATTAGATCTAAAATATAGATCTAAGATATAGATCTAAAATATAGATCTAAAATATTAGAGTTTCTTTATATCATTAGAGATATCTTTATATCACTAGAGATCTAGATCTTTAGATCTTTATATTAAAGGCCAACCTTGACACGAATCTCTTGATATTTTCCCGAAACAGCAATGAGAACGCCGGCGAGGAGACACAACGACAAGTAGGCTTTCATCTGAAAAGGAAATTTATTTCATAAACATATTTACACGTTTGAAAAGCAATAACAGAAGTTATCTGAAGAAAAATGAAATCACAAAGAATTGTAGAGAAAACTGGAATTGAAGAAAGGGGAATTTGTAGGGGAATTTGTTAAAAATTTTCTTTTATCAGCAACGCTCTTTCTCGCCGGAAACCTGAAAAATTGAGTGATTTATCGAATTTAACTTGTTCTTTGAGTCAAATCTTACAAAATCTTACAAATCTATCAAAATCTTACAATGATATCGAGTGTCACATAGGTCATATCGTAAATGCCATCGATTTTATCCTGAGGAACCACATAGTCGCCGACTCGTTGACATCCCTAAAAATTTTGGCCTAGAAAATGAAACTCTTATTACTAAGCCAGATAGCTTATTGAAGCTTATTGAAGCTTATTGAAGCTTATTGAAGCTTATTGAAGCTTATTGAAGCTTATTGAAGCTTATTGAAGCTTATTGAAGCTTATTGAAGCTTATTGAAGCTTATTGAAGCTTATGAGCTTGACGGGCCAGATAGCTCAAGGTTTTTCAAGCTACAGTTATTTAGAAAGAGCTTCATTTACAATATAAAACACTCCTGATGCCAATCATTTCAAATTAAGTGCACTAGAAAGTTTCTGGATGTTTCCGCTTTTAACTCAAAAGCTTACCCAGCTTACCCAGCTTACCCAGCTTACCCAGCTTACCCAGCTTACCCAGCTTACCCAGCTTACCCAGCTTACCCAGCTTACCCAGCTTACCCAGCTTACCCAGCTTACCCAGCTTACCCAGCTTACCCAGCTTACCCAGCTTACCCAGCTTACCCAGCTTACCCAGCTTACCCAGCTTACCCAGCTTACCCAGCTTACCCAGCTTACCCAGCTTACCCAGCTTACCCAGCTTACCCAGCTTACCCAGCTTACCCAGCTTACCCAGCTTACCCAGCTTACCCAGCTTACCCAGCTTACCCAGCTTACCCAGCTTACCCAGCTTACCCAGCTTACCCAGCTTACCCAGCTTACCCAGCTTACCCAGCTCTTTTCTTTGTCTTTTAATGAGCTGACAAAATTGCTTCCTAGATTTCTACCTTATTGGCGTGGCAACTGTGTGTGATCCGGATGAAGGGCTCGATTTTGCCAACCTGCAAAGAGATTTTCGCTTTTAATAGAGAATTCGAAAGTCTTATAAGTTAAAGTTTTAAGGAGAAATGATAAGAAATTAAATTTTAAGCATCTCTGCTTTGTTCTGAATCAATCAGAGCAAAACAAAGACAGCTTTTCGAGCTAGAACTTGACACAGAAGCCAGACCAGGGCTTGGACCCTGGCTTCTTGGCGGCCTACTGTAGCTTACAATCATTAGCTCCTAGCTTGTAGCTTATAGACAGTTGAAATTTCTCAGATATCCGAACCTCATCTTCTCCTCCCGTGATCGTGAACTCTCCCTCCGAAGTCGTGTAGATTGTGGAGAGGAGATCATTTGGATCGACTGGAAATTGGAATGGTGCAATGTTACAACCATAGGAACTTTCTTTTAATACTTATCTAAGAAAAACTCACGTGTATCCCTATCCCATAACTCAACTTTGACATTCGCTTGGCGTTTCTTCTGACAAACGGTGATTCCCTGAAAGAAAAGTTTGCTACAATAGTGTTTTCCAAAGTTTTTGACTGAAGGCTTTTCGATATCATGTCAACTCTTGAAACTACCGTAATCTTGACTCTAGTTTTGACCTAAACTATCGTAATCTAGACTCTAGTGACTCTATCGTTTACCCAAACTGCCGTAATTCAACCGCCAGTTTATCGATGAGTCTAATGTTTTGTTTTCCAAAGCTTTTGACTGAAGCTTTTCGATATGATGTCAACTCGGCAGTTTGAGTAACGATAGAGTCTAATTAGTGATCACTAGATCACTAGAGTCACTAGATCACTAGAGTCACTAGATCACTAGAGTCACTAGATCACTAGAGTCACTAGAGTCACTAGATCACAATCACTAGAGTCTAGATTACGATAGTTTAGGTCAAAACTAGAGTGTGCCATTGACTTAACCTTGTAATTCTTCATCGAATGGTATCAAAATTGGGGATTTTTCGTAAACTAGCGGGATGATTACAGTAGTTTAGAAAACGCTTTAGTCAAGAGTGCATTGTTTCTTTCAAATCTTTAAAGTTGATTCTTTAAAATCACTCACCGTTACCGTAACATTTTGCATTTTTGCCGAAACCGCTGCAAACACCGTAGCCAAGAGGCAAAACGAGATGAGTGAGCGCATCTCTCTTAAAAGCCATTTTGCGAACAAAAAGAGAACAAAAATGTTTTATCACTGAAGTTATATAGTGGAAAAATAGAAGGAAAGTTTGGTGAAACGATTTGTAAACAATTTCAGTTTATATGAAATTTTAGAGATGAGACAAAGACAAAAAATTCTCTGAGATTCTAGCCTTTTTTTCCCCTTTTTTTGATGTAAACAGAGATCGGGGTTTGGAAGGGGAAAGCTTTTGAGCTTTGAAAATGCATTTTGTTTTCATTTTCATTTTTTTTTCAATGATCCGAGAAAGATTAGCTTTAAAATCATCGAAAAATCATCGAAATTCAATTCTTTAAGTGAAGCTTTGTGGGAAATTATAAACGCACTTTCTCTGGCACAATGAAGAGCACTTCATTTTCTCAGAATTACATGAGAAAATGGAGAACTCAATGTATTCAATGCGTTTAACACAAAGTACACAAGCTCTTGGCTTGTGTACTTTGTGTAGCACAAGCTCTTAGCTCTTAGCAGCTCAAGCTTGTGTACTTTGTGTAGCACAAGCTCAAGCTTAGTGCTGCTTGTAAACACTCCCTTTCTGCCGCATTTCATCATTGATTTCCACTAAAAGAAAGATTTCAATGCACTAGAGAGAATGCGTTTGCATTCTTTAAGCGTTAAGCGCAAAGTACATAATGAAGAGATCTGATAGGCTTTCAATTGAAGAAAAAGAGAAATTAAACGCACTTCTGACAAACAACAACAGCTTTAGAGAGCTTTAGAGAGTTTAGTTTTCCAATTTTTTCGACTAAAAGCAAAAACAATAAATCTTTGGGGTGTTTGGGATGTGAAAAGGAGAGGAAAGGGGGCTTAAATTACAGCTTAAAGTCATTAATCGAAATCTTTTCTCGAAATTCTCTCCATTGAGAAAAGCTTTGAACTTTTCGGGATAAACATAAAAATAAAAAACAATATGAGTGAGTCATTTGAAGAAGAGAGATTAAGTTGGGGAATGAGCTAAAAGTGTCTAGTGATTGATGAGTTCGGATGTAGACACGGCTTAAATCTGATTGCTTAAATCTTTACCGTAATAAATCTAAAAGGTTTCAATTGGCGTTCTTGAATTGTTCAATGAGTGAACTGGTTGATTCAAAAGAATTCTAAAGAATTACTTAAAATTCTGCGCCTCAAATGGTTATACCAAAAAATCATAAATAGCAAAAGTGATCTGCTTAAATCACTCAATCACTGCTTAAATCTTTTCCGTAATAAAGTTAAAAGGTTTAAATCGTCCTTGTGGCGTCCTTGTGGATCAACAAACCGATCAACAAAGTGTTTGATACAAAAGAATTCGAAGAAATTGCTTAAAGATTGAATGCGCTCTGCGCCTTGAATGGTTATACCTAAAAATGACAAATAACAAAAGTGATCTGTCAGTAAAAACACCAAATCACAGCTTGCGGTGACCCGATTTGCCTAAAGATTTGAAAAGATTTGAAAACTGGTAGAGAATTGGATATTATGGGGGGTTTTTACCGTATTTCTTCGAATAGAAGACCGGGTAAAGAGTATGATCGCGTACTCCTGCGTAGCAGCCCTTTTTAAAATTTCTTTTCTGCATAAAAGCTTTCAATGAAGTGCTATAGGGCTGAAAAATGACTCAAAAATAAAACATGAGCTAACAGATTTTTGAGCCATTTTCCAGCTCTATAGCACTTGATTGAAAGCTTTTATGCAGAAAAGAAATTTTAAAAAGGGCCGCTACGCAGGAGTACGCGATGATACTCTTTACCCGGTCTTCTATTCGAAGAAATACGGTATTTCAGTATTTTTTTTTTGATTTCATAATAAATTTCTATATTTGAGCGCCCTTTAAATTTAAATGAAAGCCAAATTTACAAATCATTTAAGACAGCGTTTAAGACAAAGTTAGCGTCTAACTTCTCGAAAATTCCCATTTAACCAACTTCATTTCCCACCGAATAAACAAAAGCCTTTTGAAATTTGTGTAGCCTTTTTGTTTTTTTAATCCATTTCAATCATTTGATCAAATAAATGGCTCAAAATCTAGAAACACAGCATTCATGATAAAATCGGGGGTAGGCTAGTTTCCGCAGCTTTTTTTGCGCAACAGGATCATTTGCGCAACTCGCCATAACTTTCTTCTGAGTTAGCTAATCTTTATGATTTTGGTGTCATTTTGTAGATCTCAATAAGTGCAACAAAATGAAATCAAAATCATAAAGATTGGTCCACTACAAACAAAGATCTCAATAAGTGCATCAAAATGGAACCAAAACAACTGGGTCGTTTGCGCAACTCGCCATAACTTTCTTCTTAGTTAGCCAATCTTTATGATTTTGGTGTTATTTTGTTGCACTTATTGAGATCTACAAAATGAGACCAAAATCATAAAGATTGGTCCACTTAGAAGAAAGTTATGGTGAGTTGCGCAAATTACCCAGTTGCGGAAACTAGCCTACCCCTAAAATCGAGATCAAATTAGGGGATCTAGAACAAGAAAAATTCTTGAGTTCAAAGTTTTTTATAGTGCTTGTAGTTCTTGAAGTTTTCCAATTCATTTTGAGATCTCATAAAATGAGGACAACTGTTGTGATTTATGTTTTGCTGAGAAAATTGCGTGCCACTTTTTGTTGACAATTTGAGCTTTTTGCTTGAAAAGAGTTTTATTTTGGGGAAAAGTGTACAAAAAAAAGAAAGTGAATAATTGGAAGGCACAAAATTTAAACGAAATTTTTTATTTTAACATTGCTCTTTCTCGCCGGAGACAACAATGTCCAGTGTCAAGTAGGTCATGTCGTAGACATCTAAAAGAAAGTCATAGACATCGAAGAATCGCTTTTCGAGTGATTTCTGTTATTTTAAAAGAAAGTCGACAGTCGACTCTCGATTTAACGATTCTAAAAAGTGTCTCAAATTTCTTGCATAGCTGCCCTAACGATTGCGTTTGGCTGAGCGGCTGAAATCAAGCGCAGAAATCAAGGACGTGCTTTAGGATTTCAAAATCGCTGCATCGTTCAAAAGTCGACTGTATCTCTGTCTTCATATAAACATTTTGTTGTTACTAGGTGTACTGTAGGGATACTGTGTTGCATCATATTGTTATCTACAGTATACTCAAAGAATCACTCGCTACAGTACACTCTCGTACTCACTTCAGCCCGCTGAATAAATAGTCGGATGTGAAATCCGTCTAAAGTGGCCCTACAGTAGAGCCAGCAAGCCAACAGTAGCCCCATGCTGGACTTTTTGTCTACAGTTTGCTTTTTTGCCCCAAAGCATACAGTACAGTAATCCTAGCCCTACAATATGCTGACATTAGCCCTACAGTAGCCCTACAACAGACCACAGTGAGCACATAGCCTTACAAACCCATGTATAGTGCCAACTAAACATTGGCCTTTTGTAGAAAACGAGTCAGTCCCACGTTTTAGCAAACAGCTCTTGTTTTCTAAAGCTTGAAATAGCATTGTATCCGTTTTAGAAAAGAAGAGCTGTTTGCTAAAACGTGGAACTGATTCGTGGACTGACTCGTTTTCTACAAAAAGCCTTTTTCTAATGCTAACAATATCGAAAATGAACCTCCAATGGCACTTCGCGGCACTTCGTACTCGCCGATTCGGGCACAGTTCTGAAATTTTGCGGTGAGTGAGGGAAATTCCCTAATAATTTTGCGGTGAGGCGGGGAAATTCCCTAATAACCATTGCAATTTATTAGGAAAGTTTTAAATTTCTAAGGCTTTTTGACTTACCGGCTTGGCATGGCAGTTGTGGGAAACGCGGAGGAAAGGCTCAATCCAGCCACGCTAAAAATGGGGGAACATGGGGAAATTTTGAGTCAAAAATATCTTTATAAAAGCAATCTTAAATGTTAATTGACTTTCCCTCACTCACCTCATCCTCTTCTCCAAAAAGCTCGAACTCGCCATTGTGATTCGTGTGAATTTCGGAGAGCAAATCGTTTGGATCCACTTAAGAATTCAAAATCTTGCTTTAAATCTGAGTTTAACTTTATTTAACTTTATTTAGGACAATTTTGAAACATACAAAATGCTATTATAATTAGTAAAAATCAATTTCCTACTACTTACAAGTGTCTCTATCGAAAAGTTGCACTCGGACATTGTGCATTCGCTTCTTGTCGCAGACGGCGATTCCCTGAAAATTTATAGAAATTTTTGAGTTAGCTTCAGCTTGATCAGTTATCAGTCAGCAATTCTACATGAGTTTACATAAAATTACCTTCACTGTCACATTTTGCAATGAGGCGGTGACTGCGAGGGCCAACACGGCGAAAATCGCGAGACTCAACGCGTTCATTTCTGGGAAAATCTGTAAAAATTTTCTTTTAATAAAGATTTAAGAGCAAATGGGAAAAGATTAAAATTGAAGAAATTTGGGATAAAGCTTGGAGTAAAGAAGACTCAATGGTAAATAGCTTTAAAGTTGATTTACAAGGCTAATATATGAGAACTCCGATTCTCGGTGACTAGCTTTAAAGTTGATTGAGAGCGTGTTGTCCTCAACTACTGTGTTTTCTAAAACTGTCATAAACTCCAGTGGTTATGTTAGGTTTTCAAAAGATGACACGTTTTAGAAAACGGGAGACACTGAATGGCTGGCAAAAGCCTGAACGATCTGAAATGAATGACCCTTGGTGATTCATGACCTTAAATACTAAATGATCATTTCAAAATTTGAGTGATAAGGTATTATTTTTAGGGGAATGTGTGCACGAGAGAGAGAGTTTGGTGTTCGGATGGTGATCAATCTTATCTCTTCTTGAGAGTTGGCGCTAGGCCATGAGCGGGGGAGGGCACACCTCAAATATCCCCGATCTAAACAGCACAACAGATGCATGAAAAGCTTTTGGGTCTCTGGACTCTGAGAATGAGTCACAAATCACTCACTCTTTGGGGAACACATGTGATCCGCCTTGCAATCTCGAGAAAATCCGAAGACAGCTGTCGACTGTAAGACATAAATAAATCGCAATCCTCAATGCTGGAGTCAAGGCCTTTTAAACAACAAAATAGCTGTTGGGGATCAAATGTGATAGGGTAAACAAGATCGCTCAAGAGTTTTGGATCTTTAAAAATTTCGATTTTCAAATTGTTGCACTAGGGGAATGTGAATAACGCGGGGGTGGGACAAATGCGACCTTTTTTTTGCGCTCCTGGACATTTGCGCACCTTTTTTTTGCTGGAAAAGGCCTTAGGAAAGGTCGTAGAGCTTCAAAAATGTTTTCCTCTAAGGGAATCGTATGCGTAGATTCCCTTCTATGAAAAAATTTTTTGAAGCTCTACGGCCTTGCCTAAGGCCTTTTCCAACAAAAAAAAGGTGCGCAAATGTCCAGGAGCGCAAAAAAAGGTCGCATTTGTCCCACCCCCAATAACGCAAGAACGAGTTCTTCTAAATGACAAGAGGAGATTGTCTGGTTAAAATTAAATTTGCATTTAATAAATCACAAAATTTGCACATATAACAAAAAACGCGACTTCTAAATTCCACATTTTCATTTTTGCTCTCCTCATGGTCGGTCAGTGGGTTAAAAGCTATTTTATTTTCTGTATCAAAATCTTAGCCGTGTTCTCGCTGCTCTACTTTGTTTTCTCCTCTTCGAACACAGCTTTTGCCGCCCGATCACGGTAATTTTTGATGATTGGATGAATTTTTGATGATGGCTGATTTGTGTTAAAGATGATTCAATTGGATTGTTAAAGAAAATTAGTTGGATGATTGATTAGAAATGATTGTTTATGTTTATAGTCAGCAATTACAGCTCTAGAAACAAAAATGAATACCTAAAAAGTACGTGAAATGAAAAGATACACAGAAAGTTTTGGATTGAAATCATTGCTCGTATCTTAACTTGCTGTTAAAATTAGGTGGGTCTCCGAGGTTTTTTTTTGCTTACTATTAGAATTGTTTGATAAGTTGATAACGTTGGTCTTTAGAAATTCGATGATCTTCTGACTCGATTGAAGAGTCGTTTATGGATGGGTCAATATATGGAGACTGTTCAACTGGCTGAATCAATCGATCAAGCGGCCGAACAAATAGGGGTAAATTTCAATATTGCGACGAAATTTGCATCTGTTTGACAGGAAGAGGCACAACGTTATGTGGATGAACGATTTAAAAATGTGGTCATTTCGGTGAAAGACGGAGGATGATTCGATCGCTTCATTTTCTCATCATTTATGCATTCTTTGTGTTTTTGTGAGTTTCTTCTCTCGTGAAACAGTTTCTGATGGGTTCTTTCAGGTTTTCTACTTGTACTTTGTGTAACGATATGACTTTTAACACTGCAAAGAAATCAGTGAGCTTTAGTGAAACTATAACACAACCTTATAATATCGTACTTGTTTAGAATTCATCGCTTCTGTCGGATGATGTCTCCTCTCAGGCACAACTCATTCATTCAAAAATCGTCTCAAATAATTGGCTGCCATTTCTCTGGACAAAAGAGGACGCTCAACAAGCGCTTTACATTTTTCACAACAAAATTCGGGTAAGATTTTGTGTTTGTTTCGGGAGTTCTTTTTGGGACATTAATTTCTAACTATCAGTTTATCTAATTGGCTACAAATTTACCTATATAAATATCTTTTTAGCCAATCATCTATTTAACTCCGGATCAATCGCCCAAAAACGACCAAGACGACGAGTTGATTAACTAGTGAATTTGAGTGCGTAAATAAACATTCTACCTATGTTGTTTTGTTGAATCTGGTTTATGTTACCGAGCAAAATATTTTGTTTGCTTAAACGTTTGTTTAAAGCAAAAAATTTTAAACTTGTCTTTTTTCTTTTCAAAGGCCTTTTCATTATCAAAACGGAAAGTACGAAGCTTAACTCCGCACTCAAAATTTCATGCTCGTAATGTATTTGAATTATTTTTGAAAAGCTAGGTTTTTCAATACTTTTTCTTTTAACATTTGACAAGTAAACTAAATTGGTTAATGTTACAAATCTAGGGACAAAAGTAGTGAATCGTGATATGGAAAAAGTGCCGTTGTGTGAGATATGCATTCGACAGGTTTGTTCTTTCTTACGTTGTGATGTAATTATTGTTTTTAGATTGTTGGCGAACAAAATCGCGATGCCGCCCAGAAAGTTGAGGCCGGCTTTGAATGTTTTCTTTGCTTCGGACTTCTCGAACCGGCTTTTATAGAACAAGTAAGCACAGTTTTAAAGGGACCATGACAATACCGCAACAACATTTGCGCGCACGTGGAAAAACGTCTTTTTGTGTATAGCAGGCCCCGCTCACAAACTTCAGGCGCTAGAAGTTGCATCAAATGTTTTGGCGTCTTTGCTCACGAAAAATTCAAGTCACTTCAAAATTTTTTGTAGTAAAGTTATCAAGTTGAAATTGTTACAATAGATGGATATCGTCGAGTGCAACATGCTGTAAAAATTTGGGCCCAATCGAAACAATGTAGGTTGTTTCGTGCAACTTTTAGCGCCTGAATTTTGTTAGCGCGGCCTGCTATACGTAATAGACGTTTTTCCACGTGTGCGCGAATGTCGTTGCGGTATTGTCATGGCCCCGTTTTAACGCATTGGCGAATTGTGAACGTTAATTTTAACCTGCAATTTGCCGTTTTAGGTAGGTGTTGAAGTAGAAAAGGTTCTCTCAAAAATGCCTTATGATGCGACGTCGTTTGTGCTTGCTTTGGCTCTTCCTGGGTCTCAAATGCTAAGGTATCACTAGACTTTTCTTTTGAAAAAATGATTTATCAAACACATTTTCTTTAGAGAAGAAATTCTGAAGAAGCGATGGCCACAATTTGATGGGATTCTTGCGAGCGTTCCTTTCAAAATTCGCAACATTGATGCTTATCTGAATAAATTGGCTCAGGTCAAAATTTCATACAATCTAAAGATGACTTAAGATTATTTGAATAAGATATATAATTTTAATTTTTAGGCATCAGGACTACGACCCACCCTTGCTTCGGATCTACAGCTGACGATAACATTTGAGAATGACGAGTTTGCGTGTGCTGACAGAAAGTATTTTTTTAAAAATATCCATAAAAAGCAAATTTTAGATATATTGAATCGATTTTCCCGGCTGACTTCAATAATCAACGAAAGAGGCGGAAATATGAAAATGTTCAAGAAAACGAACCAAATGAGATGACAAAAGTGCAATTGATGCCTTACTTTAATCGGATTAATGCAGACCATTCAAAGTTGGTTGTCTGAAAATTATCAAGCTGTTCAACTTTAGAAAATTCCCATTGACAACGCCAACAAGAAGTTGTACGTTTTCGGTCAGTTTGGAAAGGGAACCAATATACATAGCCGGAAGGTAGTTGTTCATTGAGGTTCTCTCAAGTTTTTGTTTTTAGGTACTGTAAATTCTCAAGAGCTTTACCTCAAAGTCCTTGGTCAGCAGAAGAAGATGTTTTACCAACTCCTGGAAATTCAGTTTTTTATAGCTATAAAATTGTTTGAACATACTTACAGGTAACAGAAAAGGTTTGTGAAGTGCTGAAAAAGGAGTTCAATGCTGATTCGTATCGCTTTGTTTCTTCGGGAAGAGAAGATGTAGATGTGCGAATGTTGGGTGATGGGCGGCCTTTTTGTGTTCATCTTATCAACTGCAGAAAAACAAAATCGCTAAAAGGGTAGGTTTCTGTTTTATTTGCAAAGTCCTGATTTTGTTTCTCTGTTAAATTGAAGTGTTAGCACAGCCCATGTCGAGACACTGAAGCGAATCGAGGGCGTGATCAATAAGCAAAGCGACATCTCGGTCAACTCATTGGCCCGCTTAAAACGAGATGTTGCAGAGATATTGAGCTATGGTCAAGAAGGTGAGCTGTTATTATGCATATTGTATCAAAAATGAATTTAGATAAGCGCAAAACATATACGGCCTACTGTTACAGCACGGCTTTCCTAAGCGATGAGATGCTCAAAGCTCCGGTGACTTCAAATCCTATTGAGGTGACTTATTTCATTGATAAGTTTTAAAATCAAAATCTAGATTATCCAAAAGACGCCAGTCAGAGTTTTGAAGCGAAGATCGTTAATGGACCGAAGTCGAACAGTTTTCAACTTGGAAATGATGCGCTTGGATGGAAACCACTTTCTAGCAAGGTTACTTTGAAGATTGGAACCTTGTAAATTGATGTAATTTAAAATTTCGGATTGTTTTAGAGTTGAAACTCAAGCCGGTACCTATATCAAAGAGTTTGTGCATGGCGACTTTGGGAGAACGCGACCATCGCTTGCTGATTTGATGAGTGTTAGGGATGGAGATGAGGTATCAGTTACTAACATTTCAGTTTCATTTTGTCTTGCCAGGTCGACATTTTGGAGTTGGATGTCGAGAAAGTGCATCTCGATTGGCCGCCTTCAAGTGACGTGCCTCACAATTTTAAGTAGATACTTAGATAATTATAGTATTGTTATTTTTGTTACTTTGTTTTGTTTGTTTGATTTACACGAAATAAATATTGTTACAAAGTTCTCTGAGTTTGTAAATGGCAGTGGAAAGACAATGCTGATACATGGTTTCGAGAGTTAACATGGTAACGTGTAGAATAAATATCATTATTTGGTTACGAATATTGCAACGCAACATCGAAACCCATCCTCAATTCAAATTGGGAGATTTCCTTTGTAAATGACGCCTCAGTTTCTATAAAACGCTTAATATACCGTATCTTACAAAAGATATTCAACCAGCGCGAAAAACTGGAAGGATTTCTGAAATTTAATGGGGGTGGGACAAATGCTACCTTTTTTCGCTGGAAAAGGCCTTAGGAAACGCCGTAGAGCTTCAAAAATGTTTTCGTGTGGGGGGAATCTACGCATACGATTTCCTTAGGCGAAAACATTTTTGAAGCTCTACGGCCTTTCCTAAGATCTTTTCCAGCGAAAAAAAGGTGCGCAAAAAGGTCGCATTTGTCCCACCCCTAATTTAATCGTTTTTTTCTTTTTCCTCTCAAAGTGGGGCCGGTTTTTCGGCAATGCGATTGTCCAACTCTGGTTCATGTGCTATGAGGCTCCTCCGCTCTGTGTCCGCAACAATACACGGAACAACGCGCTTTGCCGCCTTTCCACCTCTTTTGAACTGCATTGGTTAGCTAATTTATTCAGATACGCTTTCTTGAGTCTTTAGCAAAATTGTTGATCTATTAGCTTTAAAGTTTATGAATTTCTTTCTAAAGTTTAAGTGCTTCTGCAGTTTCATTTACTAGCAGAATAGAGCCCTCTCCATTGTTGCCAGAGCACTTAAAAGTCTAACTATTTGTTGGTTAAAAAGATAATGCTTTTTCTTTATCCGTTGATTTTTACTATATTTGTTTTTACAGGATGGAGGAAGCTGCTTGCAGCGCATTTTCGCAAGATGTACTTAAGGATATTTTCAATTTCAACAGAAACAAGAACAATCTCTTGTCGAACCAGTTTGAATTTGGTGAGTATTTGAGTTTGTATAAAGTGAAAGAGTAGCGGAATACTAACTTTGTCTTTAGATCTTCTGCACCTCATCAATGTAGCTGAGAAATTTTATGGAAAATTCGTCAATGAGGAAAAGGCGCGCAGACTCGTAACCGAACAAATTGAAAAACTCGAGGAAACACTTCTGTAAGTAGTCTGAAAAGGATATTTTTACTGTTGCAATAAAATAGGTTACAATAAAGCGTTTGTTTAGGAATCGAGACAACCGGATCCGCAACTTGGAGGCCGAGCTGAAGGACGCCCGAAGTCAACTTGCATCTCAACTCACCGAAAACAATCAATTGAAGGCGGACGTCAAGGACAAGGAGCTGAAATTCAAGATGGTGCAAGAAATACTGAAGACAGAGTTGCTCAAGTTATCGGAAGCCGATCGACAACAGTTAGCCTTCTTGGAAGATGAGCGTAAAATTTGCCGCACACATAGCAGGTAGACACCATGTTTTGAGCAAAATAGTCTTTGTGTTTTTAGAAATATGCATGAGAATCGCGGCCCGATGCCTTCATTGGATGACAGCCCTCCTTCAGAAGCCAGCTACGATGACACAAATTACTCCGAAGACCTTTCAAGTTCTGAACATAGCCGGTAAAAATGAAAAGTGTCTTTGTTATAAGCTTTCCTCTTTAGAATGGTCTCGTATTATCGTCAAGGAATGCCTATCGCCCCCGTTCAGAAGCGTCGTAGTCGATCAGCTCACATGGCGATTGGTGGAAAGCGCTCAAGAAGCAAAGTCATTGGAATTCCCGAGGAGGTGAAGAATGACGAAGACGAGCCGTTGCCGCGAAAACGCTCCAATATCACTGCGGCTCAACGAAAGCTAATCAACAAACCATTCGTTATGGAGCAAGAGGCGGTAAAAATGATCATATTTATATTTACTCATCCAATTTTAGAAACAAAGATTCACCGGAACTGAAACTCGGCGCACTTTCAATCGCAGCCTCAGCGCCGACGAGCTACTAAAGCATGAACAGCGAAAGGTGCTAACACCAACGATAGCAACAAGCAGTATTGATTTGTAAGTCTTGCGTAACTCTTAAGGAACGTTTTAAATTTAGGCGCCGCAACGTTGGCCCAGCTTGGACAGGTGGTCGTCCACTCGAAGAAAGGAAGCACAGCTTTGTGAAAGTAAACTCAATCATTAAGGTAACTTATCAATTAAATGGATTTTCTTCATGATTCAAATTTGGATTACGTCGTGTGATGTGTGCAATGGGTCAATTTACTTTGCTGGCCGCCCGTCTCTTCGATGCACTGATTGTCACCAGTACACACATGAAAGTTGCAAGTAGGCTAACTTTGCTTTTGCTTTCAATATCTCATTATTTAGGCAACGTTTGGCTCTTCCATGTGTACCTCGAACGCCTAAGACGCCAACGAGAACTCGCAATGAGGGAATGAGGATTCAAGACTACTGCCCATCAACTGCTCCGATGATTCCGTTCCCAATCATCCATTGTGTCACTGTACGTGAAACATTTGTTCGTTTTTATTATGAATCGTCTTAGGCTCTTGAGCGTCGTGGATGCCTAACTTATGAGGGACTTTATCGGATTCCTGGCTTAAAGCAACAGGTCTTTTAGTGTTAATAAAAGTAGATTTTCACGCTTCTTATTTAGAGCATACGCTTGCTGAATGAACTGAAGACATCGCGTGCAATTCCTAAGATGGAGCTCTTCGATCCAGAAGTAATCACGGACTGTATCAAACAATTTTTGCGAGAGCTCAAGGTTTGTTGTAGCGCGTTAAACGCTTTAAACGCTTTTGCGTTTAATTTGCTCATTTAGGATCCACTAATACCACGTTCATCTCGCGCCGAGTTTGTAGAAGCAGCTATTCGCAACAATATAGATTCATTAAACAAGGCCATCCGTGATCTTCCGCAACCTCATCGCGATACGCTGGCCTATTTATCAATTCATTGGCAAAAAGTGGCTGGCCGACAGGAACTCAACAAGATGCCGATCGAAAACATAGCACGCTGCGTGGCTCCTTCTGTGGTCGGTTAATCAGAAATTTTTTTATAGTGTGTTGTTTAGGTGGGTCCTTTTGCGATCGGAGTTGATTTGGCTTCTGCACAAGCAGATTCAAAGAGACATGAAGGTGTCGTCATTGCTCTACTTTCCAAACCAACGGTTTGATTTTTTGCTTTTTCTTGATTGAATTTTTGCTCTAGAAAGAATGGGAGGAGCTTCTTTATTCAACGACAGGTCGAGGCACGGTCACGATGCGAACCACTGAACACTCGAGGATTGAAAATGCTCGGGACACTCCACACCTGCCAATGGATCGGTAACTGGTTTACTTAAATGAATGATTTTCTGGTTGTAGAAGTATTTTGGGCCCAATATCGACTCCGGAACGACAAGAACTGGAACTCGGCTTTACTCCTCGTCGGCGTCCGGGCATGCTATTCGATGATCCATGCTAAGCCTTTCACAATTTTTGTTTATCTCCTTCGTTTTGTTTAAAGTTAGCTACGTTTTGTGATCTTATACGTATTTGATTGAGAATATTTATTCATTGTTTGTTTTAATGAGCAGCCCGTTGTTCTATCAATTTCTATGCATATTGAATAAATGTCGTTCTTTTCTCAAAAATACATTTGATAAAAACTAGCAAACACCAATAATTGTTTTTTAAGAAGGTCTAAAAGTGAGGTCTTGGCGAAAAATGAAATATGAGCGATCTTGAAAAGGTTTGCAATGTCTGCTCATTGTTGAATGGAAAAAATAATTAATTTAACAAATTTCTTCATTGAATCTAGAAGAGGTGTATTTCTCGTAGAAGTTGCGCCGGATACCGTAGTCTGTCCAACACTAAAACGTGGATATTTTAAGTATAAAAGGCTTTTGTTTTGAAGATTTTTCATTCTGTACAATTTTAAAAGTGGAAAAATTACGTTTTGTTTCTAATAGTGGTCAAATGAATTGTTCAAATCTCGGTAAAGTAATATAATTAAGGGATTATAATGGCAGCTTATGTGAAAAATAAGATTATGTTTGGAAGCGAGTGTAAACTCGCAGAGTTTTAAGCGAGCTAAACATAATTTTAATTTTTGGTGCTTTTATTTGAGCATTTTGTGTATCTTTACGATTTCTGTTTCTTTTTCAATCCAAACTCAAGCGACAATCATAGGTTTAGCTGAAATGCTGGATTTGGAACCATTTGAGATCATCGACGAAGTTATTGTGGAAAATGATGGAACTGTGGATTTAGCTTCAAACAATGAAAACGTGGTAGCTTTTCGGTGTTTACTATCTACGCTGTTTAGATTGCACTTAATTCAAATGCAAGCCCAATCGTCGATATAAGCCAAGATGGATTAAAGAAAGCTGATCTGCTGAAGAAAAGTTGGTCTTTTTGCGACTATAGTGGATGATGTATCTTTAGCTGCCCTAAACGTTGTGCTGCGATGTGAAGAAACGATAAATAAAGTGGATAAGAAACACGATTTGGTGAGCGTTTAATTAGTTTACTGGTTTTGTGCCTGTTGTTGTACTGATTCTATTTATTACTGAATAAATAGAAAAATCAGATTAGCAAACGAAAAATTACAAGTAACTACATGAGAAATAGTTGAGATGTCACTTGTCAGCAACATGATCTATAAGTTGCAATATTTAATCTTTCTTCTTTTATAGACATTGTTATCAGCTAATGATTCGCCCAAATTCGATATCATGAACAATCATAATGACTGGAAGACGCGTAACAAGGTATTAAAATTTGGATTATTAAAAAAGTCCATTTTCTTGATGTATTTAAATTTTAGAGGTTGAAACCATGGCGCGGTAGTAGAGCAGATAGGAAGGTAAAAAAGGAGGTGAGCATTTTAACTATTCCTTAAACGCTAAATGGTGCCCCATTTTACTCGGATGTTCTAGTTTGGGTGCTCTGTGTGCGTTCTCTCGTGTCCTCCCCTCTGACCAGTTACACCCGCAAAAAATTTCTCTGTTCCCCTTATCGTTTTTTGGTCAAATTTTTGCATACAAACTTCAGGCCAAAAAGTCCTCGCATGACTTCATTATTTTGTACTCACTAGATAGCGCAAATTTAACCATCAAGTCACGGTTTTAAATTATGAAGTTCGAGAAATTAATTGAGCTAATCAAATTTTTGATTGTGTGAACGTAAAGTTATTTCGATTACGAGCTTAGATTATGAGAAAAGTTCAACAGCTTTGGAACATGGGCTCCTCAACTTTAAAAATCTTTATGAAAAAAGGTCACATCCCTTCCTTGCTTAAATACTTCTTGTTGAACTTTGTGTGTTCATCGACTTCAAAAAACGATCAATTTCTTTTCAGCCGATGGACTTGCTCGAGAAATATGAGGAAGTTCCACTGATATCGCTGAACGTCACAAACGAGTCACAAGGAGGAAAGGTTAAAGGTGCGTTTAATTGTTGCATTGTCGCATTGTCTTATCAAATTTTAAGAATGAATTCAAAGTTACACATGAAATTTGCGGTCATTTGGTTCGAATGTTCTTTTTAGCATTTATTGGACCGTGCCTCATTTGTGCAGAACCTTCATATGGAAAACATTATGGAGTGGTCGCTTGTCTTGGATGTAAAACATTTTTCCGACGGTAGGTAGAATTTAAATATAGTGAAATAAGTAAATTTGTTTATAGAGCCATCGTGCAAAAGCAAACCGACGAATGTCAGAGAAATGGTGCCTGTTCGCCCGAAGAGAACGCGAAGAAAATTTGTCGATCTTGTCGATTGAGAAGATGTTTCGAAGTTGGTATGAAAATTGAAGGTAATTTTGTTTTCCTTTGGCAAGTTTCTATTTCATATTTAGCTCTTCAACCACGACGTGATCTCATCGGTTTTCGGAAATATCAGCGAAGAATTAGTGGAAAAGGGAAAGGAGTTGAGAACAAAGAGGTTTCCTTTAGCTGACCAAAAATAGCATTCTATTTAGCAATTGAACAAGCATTAGGGTAAAGCCATGCATTTATAATATTGGCCGTTGTCGTGTAGGAGTTAAGATTTAGAACAAGTATTTGTTTATGAGAACACTAATAAATTCATTGTTTAGCCGCCAGCCGTCCAAAATGATAGCCCTAGTGGGCAAGTGAGTCCATCAGGTAGTGATACATCAAGTGGGGAGCACCTCGAGCTGATGGGCCGTTTGACCCACATCGATATGTTCATCAGAGAGAAAAAGGTAACTAAAAATGTTCTAAAATTTTGGTCCTTTCTAAAATTCATTTTCTTTAGGGAGAATGGATCAAAGCCGATGAGGATGCTAGAAAGCTTGCGTATCAAGATGAGAAATCGCACAAGGAGGACGTAATTTTGAATTATTTTTAGTAAATAAGACACATTTACAGGATGATATTGGTCGGAGGATAATTTTGGCGCGTGATGTCTACATTATTACACAATTTGATATGCAGGTACGATTTGTTGTTGCTCATTCGTTTTGTAGCGCGAAGATTTTCAGGCGATGATCCAATGGGCCAACTCTCTTCCCGTCTTTGTTAATCTTGCCCTGAAAGAGAAAGAAGCTTTAATAAAAGTGAGTCTATAATTTTTTCGCAAACTTAATGGAACACTTTTTAGCGCTTTGCGATGCCTTATCACATTCTCGAGCTCGGCTACTACACGGCGACGACTGATGTTATGAATGCATGGCTCTACCCTAATGGAAGTTGTATGCCAAGGAATGTGGCTGCTTTAGCTAATCAGGTAACAGCAAATTTTTAACTATTTTTTATTGCATCGATGCAACTTGCCAACATTATTAAATCACCGTTTAAAGCTTTATTCATTGCAACGTGAAAGATGATAAATTCTAAATTTAGGATGAAATTCCGGAAGATCGGAAATGGAGGCAGGAGAAACTCTACAAACAAATGACCGAATGTTGCATTGATGAGGTGAATTTATTTTGAGTTAATTGCAAGTCCTTTTTTGACCGCATCATCTTGTGAATCAGTCCAAGATGTCTCTGTTGGGGAGGATGGGAGATTAGATGGAGCATTTTCAGTAGGTATTGGTGGAGGATTCATTAAAATTGGTGTTGAAGTAACGGTAGGGTCACTCGGTGACTGGCTCACGTTTGAGCCTAAATAATTTAAGTTATCGTGTGGATTTTTCAAGCAAACCTTCACTGATAGAACCGGCTGACGGAGACAGGATAATATCGGGAAAGGGTGGAGGCGAAAAGCCGTTTGGTGGTGCAAGATCGGGCGCAAATGAAGGTACCGGGGTTATGTCAGGTGGTATAGCATTAACTGACGGAGTGATGTCGGGGAATGGACCAGGAATTGGTGGAGTGCCAGGTTCGATTTGCGAAGGATCAGGCATATTTGGTTGTATAGTTGGCGGGAAGACTGTCGTTTCCAATTGGGGCACACGACACGGTTCACCCGCAAAACACGAATCAGAAGCATCTGGTGGCTTTTGTACGGGTCCCAAGTTACCAGCAAAGCCATTAATTGGTGGGATTTCCTCTTGAGCTGGTGACGGAGTTGGATCGGGTACCAGGGTTTGTGTTCCATGAATCACAGGAACGTTTGACGGCAGAACCTGGAGTACGATTTAATTGGATCAAATATCAGACATAGACTTACCGGTTGAGGAGGTGGCGGTAGTGGCTTCGTTTCGGGTTTCAGATCAGCAGCAAATCCTGGGTTTATCGATGGAGGGAATGCTGGTGGCTGATTGATGAATCCAGTTTGAACTGGGGGAAACGGTTGTGGACCATTGAATCCAACTTGTTTAGGGTATTGCGGCTGGGGGACATAGTTATTTCCTGGTTGATAGGTGTTAGCTAAAATATTTCTATACCCAAATAATCAAAAACGTTTACTTTGCATTCCATATGATTTGTACCCATTTTGGGGAGGATAGTTCTGATAATAATTGCTGTATTCACTGTAGATCCCTTGCCCACGAGATGGATCCATCGAGCCATAGCTATTCCGCCCATATCCACCAAGATTCGATTGTTGATAATAGCCATTATTATAGTTTTCGAATTGGTTATAGTTATTGTAGTTTTGAGATCTATATGAACCGGAACCACCATAACCATACCCCCGTTTCGCTCTAAACGATTTGTTCTGTATAAGTAAAAACTATCCCACCTGATCGTACCAGTATTTCCTACGTTGAATAGAAAAACGAGTAGAAAAATAAGTTTGCTCATGTTTTTCCGAGCGGAGAAGGGTTGGTGACTGGGGATATCCGTTTTCATAGGCGTGAAAAGCCATTTTATCAGGTCAATGACGAGCAATTTGTCAAATCGCCCCTTTCAGTCCAGGAAACTTTAACGGGCGATGTTTTCTCTGAAATTAGAGAACGCCTAATGACTAAGTCGATTTCGGCTTGATGAGTACAGGATAACAAAAACAAATCGATCATTACTGACTCAAATAATATTTTGGATACAGTAAGCCCTTGGCTTCTTGAGTGCTTGTATGAAATATAAGCAGTTGTGCGAATAATATTAAGCCTTGTACTATCTAAATTTGCTTTTTAGGTATGTGATCCCTTACGAAAACTTCAACTTTTACCTGCCGAACTCGTTACCCTGAAGATCATCATGCTTTTACAGTGTGGTACAACTCAAAATGGTGAGGGTTTAAAGAGATAGCCTAAAGAATGAGGCTAATTCGTAAATAAACGCAAATAGCAAAATTAATTGAAGCAAAACCGAATTCGACCTTTAGATTGTGAATTGGACGCGTCTTCAAGACGCTTATACGGTTTGTTTGTGTGAGATTGAGCTTAAACCCCCGTGTGCTTTGATAATTTTGATTAAGAACAGCACTTGTTTTTTTGAAAGGAAAAGTTGAATAGCTATTTTTTAAATTTAGAAGACCAGTCCGACTTGTGTGACGAATCGAGGAAACGATGTGCTCATTTCAAGAATCAAGTGGGTTTATTTAGGACTAAATTGTATTTAATGTCTTTAGGTGATTGCTTCACTCTTCAAATACTATGAAAGTGTAAATATGACCAATCATGAAGGTTTGTTGTATTTAGAAAGTCGTTTTAAATTTATTCCTTTAAGAACGATTTGGAAACGTGGTGTTGATGATTTCGGGAATCAGCTCGGCAGCGGCTGCTATGCTCGAGAGTTATCAGGTTGGATTTTAGTTGTTGTACGAACTTTCTAGGCTGTTGATTAGTTGATTGAATTAAAATATTTGGTAGCATCAAGTCAAAAGTAAGAGTGAAAATGGTGTCAAACTATGAATTATTATTTCTAAAAATCCGTTTCAATCCCAGGTGATGCGCCTCTTCAATATCGTTCAATTCGACCGGATCTCCACTCAACTTCTTTTCAACACCGAAGAATGACCTTAGTAGGCCATTTTTAACTATGTTTCGCATCTTTTCACTAAAATTGTTATTATTGTTAAGTTTAATTTGACGAAATTAGAACTACACGTGCTAATTTTCTTTGTTTCAATGTTCCAATGTTCAGCCATTTTCCTCTTGCTCAAATTTTATGCTTCAAGATCTTTGAACTTTGAACGTATTTTTCCCAGTGAGTTAAATAAAATTGATCCGTATTAGTTAATTTTGAAATTACGAGCAAACAGAAAATGAGAAAAGCTTTTAGTTAAACATTAGAAAGAAAAAGTGAGGCAAAAATAGTGGCTAATTGAAACAGATGGGTCCCAAAACTTCGTTTTCGGTAAAACAAAGGAGGCCAAACATTGCGTTTAGGTTCTTTAATAGTTCGGTGAACTTCTTTATCCATTTTACCCTGACTACGAGTGTAATTCTTGTCTTGTCCCATTGTCCCAGTGTGAGGTAGCTTTTTTTCTTTTTGATCAAAAAGAGCATTGACCAAGAGACTCTTATAGCAGTGGATTTTTGTTGTCGATTCCTTGTCAAAAAATAGATACTTTTGAACCATGAAAACTTTTCATTAGGACTTCGAAAAAAGATATGTCAAGCAAGCCTTGCTAACATTTTTCTAAAATCATATGTTTGATGAACCGCCTCATCGATTTAGAATGAATTGAAGAGATCAGTCAGATCCATTCATTCACCTCCCACTCTCACAAATGATCCTCTTTGGCCTAAATTCTCTTCTCGGTTTTCTCTCAATTTCTCGATATCTCTCTTGATATGTCTCATCTCGGCGATATCACCGTATTCAATCAGAGGAGAGGAAAGGCAATGGATAAACGGGGGCAAAAAATGGGGAAAGAAAAAGACTGTTTTCTGTTTCTCATCAATAAGTCATCTTTAGAGTCTGTCTCTTTAACAATCTCTTTTATAAACCTTTCATATTTTATATCTTTCTTAATCTTATCGTCTTTTTAAAACAGATTCTTTCAAATCTTCCAAACCTTCGAAAACTCTTCTCTTTTTGAGATCTTGTATCTTTTCGATTTTGTTGAGTTTATCAATTTGACACTTGCGACTTTTTTTGCCAGTCACACTTAAATGCAAATTGATCTAACCAATGTAAAGTGGCTTTTCTGATAGCAACTTTGCGTTGGTTAAACGAATTTAAGTGTGGCAGCCAAAAATTTAAGGCTGCCATTTAAGTGTGGCAGCCAAAAATCATAGTACCTTCAATTTCTGTCTCTTAAATCAATCCTTTTTCATTTTTCTTGTCACTTTTTCTTTTCGAAGTCCTCTTTTTAAAGGCTTGTATCTTAATTTGAATTGACTTGATCATTTCTTCTTAATCTTTCTTTTTAAACTCTCTTCAGAACTTTCGAACTGTTAAATTGTAATCTTTGCATTCAACAAAACACCTCCTTTATCTCTGTCTGCCTTTTTCTTGTTTTGTACATTTTCTTGTACATTTTTCTCCCCTTTTCCAGATCTCTTTATCTCTTCTCTTTATTAAAACGTTATTTTTTTTTTCATTGTTTTTCTTTTTCTATTTTTCTATCAGTGAAATTCGAATTCCTCTCTTTCTCCAATTCGTTTGAACGTGCGTTTTTTCTTTTGGCCAATCCACTCCTTCTGGGCGATTTCCGGGCATGTTTGGGAAAAAGTTTCGCAATCTTGTGCCAGGTTTGTTCAAATTTTTGTTGTTAATTTTCCTATTTTTATGGTGTAGCTATTTTTGAGAAATTTTGAGAGAACAGAATGGTGATGATAATCACAAATTCTAGAACTATGCTTAAATCGATTGGGTTTAAAAATAACAAGAGTTGACAAGGTATGCTATCCTTTACGAAAACTTGAACTTTTACTCATCACCCTGAAAACTATCATGCTTTTACTAGCAAGAGTTGACTTCAAAATTTGAATAAAATATTCAAATTCTTTATTATTTCAGTGATTCAAATCTTTCGGCATAACCATGGGGTCCCGTTTGCGCCAAATGGCCGAGCTTTCCCCATTTCTGGTGTCTCGACACCGAAATTCGTGAGCGCTGATGAAGCGATCGCCGAAATTCAATCAGGTTTTTCATTTGAAAGTTTTCAATTAAAAAAAAAATATGCAAAAATATTTAATTCTTGATTGATTGTGAGCGAATTTCTATACTCTTTACCAGTTTTCTTATAAATCTCAAAACAATCAATCGAAAAGATTGAGCAAATGAACAGAACAGCAAAAGCAATCCCGTTTAGTTTATAGTTATAGTTTTTTTGGTACTTGTCGGTTATACATCCACAGAGACTCGTCTCGGTTAAGGCAAGAAGCTGACAACTTTCGAGGGGTGATTATGTTCAGTGAAGTAGTAGGCTCGCCTGAAGTGATCATTAGATCTGTCGAACGAGAATCGATAACCGAGAAGACTCGGATGGAGATGCTTAACCGTCTTGAGTCCCCTGTGGATGTATAACCGACATGTACCGTTTCCTTTTATAACCAATAATGATAGCTTCTACTTGTTTACCCTCTACTCCAGGTGCTCATATCTACATCCATGGTCACGCGGCGACACCCACCGAGATCACTGACGCGCTGTGTGATCGAGCGGCCACAAAAGACTACAAGTTTGACTTTTCACAGTTCTTACATTGTTACATAGAAGAATCCTTGTTTTAATAGTCATCTTCAATAGCTAATTTATCAATCTCTAAATCACCTCATTTTTTTTCTTCTTTAAGATTTCCTTCCAATTCTGTGTAAACTAGCTGATAAGCTTTTCCCCAAATTCGTAATTTTTTCGGAAGAATCGGGTGACTTTTGCAAAAGGAAAACTGTATGACACGGGAATTTCGCATGTTTTGGAATTTTCTTTTTGTCTATTCGACTAGCACAAAGTACAGTCGCGTGTGAGAGAACTTTTCCGGGGAAATTTCAATGATCTCTTGGTTTTTTTTTAAAAGAAATCAAACTGGGGACAAGCTTGGAAATGAATTGGACTGGGGTATGGGGTATCTTTACGATGAAATTTGAGAAGGGGTATCTTTACGATGAAATTTGCGATCAAATTTAGATGAAGCTGTCCCTTTAGATTTGAGTGTACTTTGCGTGCTTTCAAAAGCTTGTAAACATACCCCTTCTCGTGCACTGAATGCTCAACTTTCTCTAGACGTTGTTGCAAGAAAAATACAGATTTAAGTGCACTAGAAAATGAGCGTTTATGCTAAAAGGTACTGTAAGGTGTTTACGTTAAAATATAGCAAAAAAATGTAATTAAATGCGCTAGAAGAAGGGTGTTTGCACAGTTTGAGCATCAAAGTACACTCAGGGTGTTTTCTGAGTGTACTTTGTGCTCAAAACAAGTGTCAATTTCACTTTTTAGATACAACTTTCATCACATCATTCTCTCTGGGAAAGTGCGATGGGCACAACCGGAATTTTATGGTAAATTGTAGATATGGGCATTGAATTGAATCGAATCGATTCGAGTTTTCAAAGCTAGAAGCTAGAAGCTTGAGGCTTTGAAGCTTTGAAGCTTTGAATCGAATCAAATCAAATCGATTTGATTTGATGGTACTTGATGGTACATCTACAGAGACTCAAGACGGTTAAGCAAGAAGCTGACAACTTTTGAGGGGTGATTATGTTCAGTAAAGTAGAGTGCTCGCCTCAAGTGATCAGTCGATCAGTTGAACGAGAATCGATAATCGAGTAGACTCGGATGGAGATGCTTAACCGTCTTGAGTCCCTGTAGATGTATAACCGAAAAGTACGATAAAATCAAATCGATTTGATTTGATTCGATACCGTATGAGAACCGTATTGGCACCGTATTAGAACCGTATTTGAACCGACAAGTACCGATTTGATCGGATTTGATTTAAAGTCAAATCGGTGATCGGATTCGATTCGAGGCTAATATCTAGTAAATTGAAAACCACATTATCACTCGAAATTTTAGGCAAAATTCGCTCAAATTGTTTATTCATTTGTGGTGGAATGAGACAAGCTGTGTTGGATGGTAAAAATTGAGAATTTTTAAGCAAAAATGGCTTTAGGAGCTGCTGATTACACACCAGTTTTCCTCGTCGACATACCGAAAATTTTCTACGATCGAGTTGTGCCACTCGATTATGCGATTGTTTCGGTTAGTCGTCTTTCAAAAACAACAACTACTAGATGTTGTTTGTGCTCGAAATGGGTAAACACAACGTTTCTATAGTGCAGTGAATTCTTCTTTCGGAAACAAGGCACTTTTGAGCAGAAAAAGAACAAATTGAATTTGTTTTCAAGGTGTACTTTGTGCGAAAATCTAAACGCAAGCTTTTTGATGCAGTGAATTCCTCATATTTAGGTCTCTCCCCCAGATGAGCATGGTTATTGCAGTCTTGGAGTGGATGTCGATTGCACAAGTGCTGCCGTCAACAGTGCAAAGCATCTGATTGGTGAGATTGTTTATAAATTTAAATAAATCTTTTTACATTCAAATACTTTCATCGTTCAAATCAAAAATCAAAAACTCGTTAAATCATTTGCTTCCTCTAAAAGCCCGCATAGTTTCTTTTTTAATCGAGTTATTAAATTCTGGAAGATTTTACCCTCCTCATGTTCGTGATCATCTCACCGTGGCTAGATTTAAAGCCGCAACTTCGGCAATTGATTTTGACTGCTCTGTGTTTCTTTCTTTAGGTATCTATTGGGTTGGTGAATTGCGGTTATTCAAATGAAGCGGTAAAAGAAGTTAAATGTGTTAGGTTGGTGAATTGAAAATTGCGGGACTTTGAACTAAAATTTATTCAACATAAAACCATGAATTTATTCCAAATAATTTCCATTATTATTGACGACTTCTGCCCATTTTACAGGCAATTTGCGGATTCCTCTTTCTGCGTAGGATTTTGGTTTGTGTGTGAGACAAGTGTGAGACTCAAAAATCGAGGACTGGAGATGTCAGCTGTCAGCCCAGTTTGAGCACTTTCTTCAAAAGAAACCCATTTTGGTGTCAATAGAAAAGTTGTAGAGAATCAAAAATGAGGCTTATAGCCAAATTTGCCAAAAGATACACTTGGTAGTTTCGCTTAAAATGCAAGTTTTGTGAAAATTCGTAAATTTAGCATTTCTTGAAAACGAGTTTTTGAATCGTTCTGAAAATTTGGATATAAGCTTAGTTTTTGATTCTCTACAACTTTTCCATTGACACCAAAAAGGGTTTCTTTTGAAGAAAGTGCTCAAACTGTCACATCTGACAATAGCCCGCAGTTTTCAATTCACCAACCCAATATTTATCTTTTTGGTTTGTTTTGAGTGGTGTCCCTGGGTGATTATTTTGATTTTGTTTTGTCGCTATTCAACCAAATAATTATTTCATATATATTTCAAATTTTACAGGCTTGGTGAATCCGTCAATGCCACGAACGTTCGGCGATGCCACCATTCACGCGTCTCAATTCAAAGCGATGGTGGAAACGGATCGAGAGGTGAAAAGTTCGGGAAATCTTTGGTGTAAACGTCAATCGGTATTCAACGGAAAACCCCCATATCTTTCACTCAAAAAGCTTTTTCTCTTTGATTTCTCAATCAATCGAAAATGAAATTCTGCATCAATTGATGTTAAAATGAAAAAGATTTGAGTGAAATTGACCAAGAGATCTTATTTTTAGTGAACCTTGACCTGTGAAAATCTATTTGAGTACTATAGATAGGGCACAAATTAAATTCACTGAAACAGCGATTTACTATATTTACTATATATAACTAGATCACCTGGAAATCTAAATCAACTTTTAGTGAAATTTTTAGTGAAATTGACCAAGATCTTATGTTATTTTTCCGTTGAAGACCTATTTACGTTCACACCAAGCTTTCCCAGGTCTAGTAAAATCACTTTTTAACTATGCAAATTGTTTTGACCTTTATGTGAGGAAGAGCTTGATTGAGGAAGAGCTTGATTGAGGAAGAGCTTGATTGAGGAAGGGCTTGATTGAGGAAGAGCTTGATTCAAACTTGAGTGATCTCGCAATATTAAGCGAGTTTTTAATTAACAAAGCTTGAAACTCAACAAATAGAATAGAACCTAGATTTCAGGTTTAACTAGAAGAATGGTAATATAGATAGATTAGATTTAACATGCGATTTCTTCTAGATCTACTGCAAGGGAGTGCCCGAGTCAATCGGCGAGGCTGAGCAGCAAATCGGACGACTCATCGCTGAGAATCTCGTCGACAATGGGGCCACTTTACAGTTAGGTGGATAAAAGATTGATTTCATTATTATTATTATTATTATTATTATTATTATTATTATTATAAACAAAAATTTCTCTGTTATCGTTTTTTTAAGGAATCATGATCTTTTAGGCATTGGTGGAATCCCCGATTCAACGCTGAACTCGATGAGAGATCACAAGGTAATAATTAGATAAATTTTCTAAGATAAGATTAATTTTAAAGCTTAAATTTAATTCTAGGACTTGGGAATTCATACGGAGCTGATTTGCGATGGGATTTTGGATTTACTTGAAGCGAATGTCATCAACAACACGAAGAAAGCGTTTATGCCTGGAAAAGTGGGTTGGGAGAAAGATTGGGAGAAGTTTTGGATACTTTAGAAAATGAAAATGAAAAGAAATGATAAGAAATGATAAGAAAATGCCTTGAATGTCTTGAAATCTATCAGAATTCGAGATTCAAAAGTGCTTTGAGAAGTTGAAGCCACTTTATAAATCATTGTACTCTTTCGTTCAAGAAAAGCTTTCAAATTTGAATTTTAAAAAAAGAAAGAGACATTTTTTGACTTAAAAAAACAAATCTTTTATGTTAAATTTATTGAATTTGTTTACGTTACTGAACTTACATTACTGAACTTTTGAGAGCGTCGCCTCGTTCGCTTATGGATCGCGAAGGTTTTTCGACTTTGTTCACAACAATCCCAGCTTTCGTAAGTTCTTTCAAAAAGATCTTCCTTTCATAATTATAAACATTTTGGCTTTTAGAACTTGAAATTGAAAATAGAATTGGTAACTTCTTGTTAACTTGTTAACTTGTTAACATTTTGGGTTTAAAATGTATCCAAAATCAAATGTTATCAGATTTTGCCTCTTGCGGCTGGACAAATCACCCGGATATCATCCGAAGAAACAGCAAAATGACAGCAATCAATGCGTGTATTGAGGTAAAATAAAGATTTATTCATTGATTGTGCTCAAAATCATCTTTTCAGTGATTATAGCTTGAAAACTTTAGCATTGAACCAATTCCCCCATGGCCGACTGGCTAAGGGCCTAGGAAGAGCTTGATTGAGGAAGAGCTTGATTGAGGAAGAGCTTGATTGAGGAAGAGCTTGATTGAGGAAGGGCTTGATTGAGGAAGAGCTTGATTGAGGAAGAGCTTGATTGAGGAAGGGCTTGATTGAGGAAGAGCTTGATTGAGGAAGAGCTTGATTGAGGAAGAGCTTGATTGAGGAAGGGCTTGATTGAGGAAGGGCTTGATTGAGGAAGGGCTTGATTGAGGAAGAGCTTGATTCAATCTAATAGCTCAGTCGAGAGGTCAGGGGTTCGATCCAGGCTAGATCGCTAGTTCTTTTTTGACCTTTTTTCCCAAATTACTAATTACTGATTACTATTCCAAAAAGTAGCAAACAGCTTACATCTTATTAGGAAATGTTTAACTCTAGCTAAGCACTAGAGAAAGTACCCGTAATTCTTGAACATTTTGTATTGTTTGTACCATATTATGTGAATAAATGTATTTGAAAAAATGTATTTCAATTCCAGGTTGATCTCACCGGCCAAGTGGTCAGCGATTCGATCGGCGAGAAATTCTATTCAGGTAGATCTGAATTCTAGAAATTCTATTCAGGTTATCGTTAGAATTTGTGAAAAGCCATCAGCTCAACCCATTTTTACAGGCTTTGGCGGTCAAGTCGATTTCATCACAAATGCTTGTAATGGTTATGATGGAAAGGGGAAATCGATCCTCGCGATGACTTCAAGAACTGAGAAAGGACGTGCAAAGATTGTGCCCACTCTATCAAAAGTGAGAATAGAGATTTGGCAACGTTATTTCTTAAGCAAGACTAACAATTCTTTGTATTTGTAAGCTAAGCTGCAAAAGAATGTATTGCAATGAATGCGATTTTAGGGAGCTGGAGTCGTGTGCACGAGAGCTCACTCACATTACATTGTCACCGAGCACGGGATCGCGAGTCTTTTCGGAAAATCGGCTAGGTGAGTGAAAAGAAAGGAGACGATTTTCTTAAAGGTTTTGAAGTCTTTAATCTTTAGTATTCCAAAAATTAGCGATTGTTTGCGTTTTGAAAGTCGAGATTCGATTTCTGAAATCGATTGGGATTTTAGAGTTTATCTTCGCTTATTTCGAAACTTAAAAAGTATCTAACATTGAAACGCAAAGTGTATTCAATATTGTGACTTGTTTATTTAGATAATGAGATGAAGAGAAATCTAGACAAATCTAGACAAATCTAGACAAATATAGACAAATCTAGACAAATCTAGACAAATCTAGACAAACCTAGACAAATCTAGACAAATCTAGACAAATCTAGACAAATATAGACAAATCTAGACAAATATAGACAAATCTAGACAAATCTAGACAAATATAGACAAATCTAGACAAACCTAGACAAATATAGACAAATCTAGACAAATATAGACAAATCTAGACAAATCTAGACAAATCTAGACAAATCTAGACAAATGCAATCGACTCTCTCTATAACGAAACTCCATAAGCCAGTAAACAAGATTTAGTACTCAATGTAATAGTTCTAGACTTAAAAAAAGGTAATCCATTGATGCATTTGTCTTATAAAATCCATTAAAATCACCAATTTTTGTCTCGAAAACCTGAGCATACTGTAGTTAGGGATATGGATTAGAGTTTTGTTCGTTATTTTAACCAAATTTTCAGGCAACGAGCCTACGAGATGATCAAGATCGCTCATCCGGATGATCGAGCCTCGCTGGAGGCGGCCGCTTTCGAGCGCCTTCGAGTGATGCCATCGCCGAATTTTTAACCAAAACCATTCCTCATTTTCGAAAATCAAATCGTATTAAAGAGAATTTTTGGAAGTAAATCGACTTTTATACTTTATTTATTCAATTTCCATGTCATTTTGTCCAATTTCAGGAGTAGACTAATTTCCGCAACTTTTTTTTTTGCGCAACTCGCCATAACTTTCTTCTGAGTTAGCCAATCTTTATGATTTTGGTGTCTTTTTGTTGCACTTATTGAGATCTACAAAACGAAACCAAAATCATGAAGATTGGCTGACGTAGAAGAGAGCGCCAAAGCGATTGGCGCAAACGACTTAGTTGCGCAAATGACCCTGTTGCGGAAAAAAAATTGCGCAAAGTAGCCTATCCTTAATTTCATTCAAAAATCAATTCCACATCACAATTTATGCAATTTTTTTTTTTGCGTTTTTTATTTAAATCAAATTTTTCGTCAAATAAATGTTTTTATTTTTCTGTGAAACAACGATTGGAAGTGGAAAGTTGAAAGCAAAATGTATATTATGAGAAAAGGAAATGTTGGATTTGTTGGAATCGAATTTGAATCGAATTTGTATAGAATTTGGATCGAATTTGAAACGAATTTGAATCGAATTTGTATTGAATTTGTATTGAATTGAATCGAATTTGAATCGAATTTGAATCGAATTTGTATTGAATTGAATCGAATTTGGATCGAATTGAATCGAATTTGAATCGAATTTGTATTGAATTGAATCGAATTTGAATCGAATTTGAATCGAATTTGTATTGAATTGGATCGAATTTGGATCGAATTGAATCGAAGTTGAATCGAATTGAATCGAATTTGTATTGAATTGGATCGAATTTGGATCGAATTGAATCGAAGTTGAATCGAATTTGTATTGAATTGAATCGAATTTGAATCGAATTTGAATCGAATTTGGATCGAATTTGGATCGAATTTGAATCGAATTTGTATTGAATTTTTCAGTAAATCCTAAGTAAATATTGATAATATAATTATTGTTATTGCTATTGTTTTATACTGATAATAATTGTTTATTTATTATTGTTTATAGGAAGGACTTTTCTTTGCCGATTCTTTTGGATGTCTTCTCCTTAAATGACTTTGAAGGAAAGACGACGAAACGAACGTTTTCTTGCAAGCAGCACACTGAAAAAGGTCAGTAATTTCAGTAATTTCAGTAATTTCATTGTTTCCATTTTTCTTATAAGAAAATTTCATTCTAAATTTTCAATTGTAAACTTTAATCTTTGTACTATTAGATTGAAAAGAAAGCTCTTGGAAAAGTTTGGGAAAAGTTTGACGTTTTCTAGAACTAGATGACTAGAATTTCTTCAAAACGAGTCCACCAATTCAAGAACATTCTCTTCTATCATTTCTTCTATCATCTTCTATCATCTTCTATCATCTCCTATCATCTTCTATCATCTTCTACCATCTCCTATCATCTTCTATCATCTTCTATCATCTTCTATCATCTTCTATCATCTTCTATCATCTCCTATCATCTTCTATCATCTTCTACCATCTCCTATCATCTCCTATCATCTCCTATCATCTTCTATCATCTTCTACCATCTCCTATCATCTTCTATCATCTTCTATCATCTCCTATCATCTTCTATCATCTTCCTTCTATCATTGAATTTTAGATATTCACGCTCTTTGGGGTATTTTAAATGAGGCTTTGCTTTAAAGGTCTATAACTTTATCTAAAGATAATCTGATTTCATCTTAACTATTCGAAATCTTTTTTTTTTTTTTTTTGATAAATGATTATTTTCGAGCTTAAAAATTCAGCTTACTTTTTTGGACCAGAAAAAAACAATCTCTAATAGGGTAAAGCTAGCATAAATGAGCATGAGCAATGCGCTTTCTAATTATTTTGTTGCCAACAAACAACAAGCGCCTCGCACTAAATCTATTTGGGTTTTTTTTAAAAAAAATACCGACTGGGGCTACCAGTGGTGAATTTATCGCATACACGAAATATATCAATCACAATACAACGACACACACAATACTAGGCTATATCTTAACTTAACCCACGTCATGACAGACGGCTCCCTAACCCTAAGCTCAATGGGGAACTAAATAGCTTTTTTGGTGGTGAAGGGAAGATGACGGTGAAGGATTTGGTTTGGGTTTGGGCTAAATCCCCATTTTCTGGATCTCAGCCAGTTCCCAGAGCTTAGGCTAGTACAATTTTCTTAAATAATTTATTTTCTAAATCTCCGAACTTCCAAAAACGATCGTAATCTTATCTCGTTTAATTAATTTAACTTTTTATATCCATTTGATATCTTTTATTTTATGTTTTTACTTATCTCCGAAACCTTCTCAAATTTACCTCAAAAACTGGAGATTTCTTGCTTCGGAGCAACGCGGAGATCAGCTTTTTTGCTGTTAATTCCTTGTTTACTTCAGATAATTGTTGCACGAGTTCATTCTGAGATCTCTAAAATAAGATTTCTCATCATTTTGTAGAAAAAATTTCCTTTCTTAGGATTAGAATTGTTTCTGGGAATTGTGCTTTTTTTTGGATAAGCTTTTCAGGGGAAAAGGGGGAGAAGTCGATGGATTTGAAAGGGAAAAGAAAGGGAAAAGAAAGGGAAAAGAAAGGGAAAAGAAAGGGGTTGAAATGGTGATTTTCTTGGTAAGCCAAATCCACGATTTCATCGAATAAGCTAAACTAGAGATTTTCCAGAGAAAGAGCAAAGAGCTTACGACCTCTTTGCTCGAGCTCCTAAGCTTACGGCAATTGTTAGAGAACACTTTCTGGTTTGATTTACAAAAATCACAACGTAAACCTCGATTGTTCATCGACAATTTTAGACATTTGAATCCGATTTTTTGAAAGTAATCTTATCCAAGTTATTTTATCCATGTTTTCTAGTTGTTAAACGATTTTTGTTCAGGCTAAACGTCAAAAAGAAACAGTCAGCATTGATTAACAGAAATTTTCTATGATATTTGAATTCTGATGAATACAGAGTGCGGCAGGATTTCATAGAAGACTTGGCTTTTCGACTGGAACTCGATGCCCAATCATTTTATTCCTCTAATTTCATATTTATATGAAATTTTAAGTGAATTTCTGTAGACAATTTCAATTTTTAATTCATAAATACAGTGATATACTACTACTATTTTTTAATAAAAAGAAAAAAGAGAGTAAATACGAAGCGGGAATTCTCCAAATGCCTGCAAATCCAGTGAAACAACGACATTTCTGAACTTCGAAGTACGATAAAAAGCGTAGCACTGTGTTTTTAAGGCTAAAAATTGGAACTGATTGAAGAAATTAGCTTGAAATTTGATATAAATATGAAATTAGGGGTTTGGGCGTCGATTTACAGACGAAAAATCGTAAATTAATGCTGCCGTCAATATTTTCTCGATCTCATAGTCAGAGATCTTTTAAAAAAAAGCAAAACCCCTTGCTTTTTGTTTAGTTTCTTTTGAATTTTAAAGGTTTTTTTGATTTTAATTTAGAATTCTATGATAATTTCCTGAAAAAACCCTCTCCAAACCCACCAAAAGATACTCAATCTGCATTTGTGAGATTCGAAATAGTTTCGGTAAATTCTCTCGAGTTTTCTCCTCGTTCACGTCGACGAGAAGGATCGATGGGAGAACGGCCTTCAAATTCTTTTTAAGACAATATGTATTTCATTATCACCTGTAAAATAGGATATGTACAAATGCCGGTCTCGAGCAGTGGAACGCTCACTTCATCTAAAGAAAAAGAGTAGCTTTAAGTGGCTCAAATGAAATGAATTCTCAAATGATTTAAGCTTTCATTTATTCGTTGAAATGATCAATTTCTAAAAAAAATTAAACGACAATTCGAGAATCTAGAATAAATTTAACATTTTAAACTAGAATAAACAAAACAAAAATCAATTTAGCTTTTTAAACAACTTTTATGCTTACCGTATTTTCTCTAATAGTAGTGCACCCTAAATTCCTCGAAATCTCGAAAAGCGCTTATCAGAACCTAACGATGTGGGGTCGGAAAATGTAGCTGACGATGAGATCTAGTCGGGGATTTGAGTGTTGAGCTTCTGGGAAAACTTTGGAAGCCGTAAAATAGTCACCAACTCGGCTCGCCTGGGTGCACTACTAGTAGAGAGAATACGGTTATGCATCATAATGAAATATTATATTTAGAATAGAAATTGTGCATTTTCTTGTACACTGAAGAAAAAGAAATTGCAAAATTGAGCTATATACTAAACTTTTTATGTTCTATCTTTTATCTATTGACATTAAAAATAGGTTTCCTTATGTCTAAAATGTCTAAACCGTATCATCGAATCGACTCTTTGACTACCCAACTTCATGCTCTCAAAGAAAGATCCAGAAATACCGTATTTTCTCTAATGTAGTAGTGCACCCTGCGCTTCAATTGATCGAAATCTCGAGAACCGCTTATCAGAACCTATCGATGTGGGGTCGGAAAATGTAGCTGACGATGAGATCTAGTTGGGGATTAGAGTGTTGAGCTTCTGGGAAAACTTTGGAAGCCGTAAATAGTCATCAACTCCGCTCGCCGGAGTGCACTACTAGTAGAGAGAATACGGTTATATTTGGTGTCATATTAGAGTTAATATATAAACAACCGTATTTTCTCTAATAGTAGTGCACAGCATAGCCTAAATTCCTCGAAATCTCGAGAGCCGCTTATCAGAACCTATCGATGTGGGGTCGGAAAATGTAACTGACGATGAGATCTAGTCGGGGATTTGAGAGTTGAGCTTTTGGGAAAACTTTGGAAGCCGTAAAATAGTCACCAACTCGGCTCGCCTGGGTGCGCTACTAGAGAAAATACTAGAGTATTAGACTACTAGAGTATTAGATTTCAACTCTTACCTAACAATTTCCAATTACATGCGATTGGTGGTGAGTGTGACAGCGATTCGCCAGGACTCGCCGAAATGCGTCCATCAATTTCCTTTTTGATTGTTAAATTGATCGGTTTGATTCCATTTGTTGAACTCTCGAATAGTTGATTCGATTGAGCGCTCGTTGATGGATCTGATGGGATTAGTGGAGTTGATTTGAGGAGATTTGCCATATCAATCGATGCAAACATTCACAGTTGAATGGGGGGTTCAAAGTTTCTAAATTTTAAGAAAATAGACTGAAAAATAATACATTTTCTAGTACAAAAAAGAATAATGAAAAAAGAAAGAAAAAGAAAAAAGAAAAAATAAAATTTTGATTCCAGGAAGTAGTCTAAAGCTCTAGAGAGCTAAGTTCTAGTTCTAGAGAATAGTCTAAAGCTTTTTTCTTTGTTAATTTAAATGTTAAGCTAATTTTTTATAATATTGTTGAACTTAGCTTTAAATTCGAATAGAAAAAAGGAAATTTTAGAGGCTATTAAAGGGGGAAGAGTCGAGTAAATGGGGGGAAATTTTTAAGAGTTAGAGAAAATGGTGGATGACTAGAAGAGAGGCCAGGTGGTCGATGGATTGAAAGAGAGAAAAGAATGGTTGTTAGGTGGACGGACCCCGCAAAACACATCAATTAAGAATTCAAAGTGTGCAAATATAATAAAAATGTAAGAAAAAGAAAGAAACAATCCACATGTCAGTAAGCAAATGAATAGCTGAAGTCAGGGTTCCAGCTTAAGCCAGGCTTTCAGCTCACGAACCAAGCCTAGTTTACTACGAGTACTACGAGTACCGTACTTGCGCGTAGTCAATCCTCGTAGCTAGTAGCCTGGCAGCCCGTCAGCTTTACAAAAATTTTAGATAAAAGTTGTTAAACTCTTTGGAAATTTTAACAAGTTATGGTTAAGTTTATCCTTCTTTCTTTCTTTCTTTCTTTCTTTCTTTCTTTCTTTCTTTCTTCTCCCTCCTTGTCTTTCTTTCTTTCTTCTTCCCCCTTGTCTTCCCTTTTTCTCTTTGCAAGGTACCAGATAGAGTGGTTAAAGTAATTGCTTGGAAAGTAAAAAGTCAAGGGTCTAATCTACTTTTTCTTGTCAATTCTTTAACTTCTTTATACAAAAAAAACTGTAAAAGCTATACAATAAATTTGAAAGGAAACTTTGCTTATCTTGCTTGAAGCTTTGCTTATCAAACCTTTCTCAAAGCTAAAGTCTAGACAAGCTATCAAATCGAAATCATTCTCAATTCTAAACAACCGAAATCTGGTCAGGGGAATTCTACGAAGGTTTTAACACATTCATGACCCGCCACTGGACAACTATTTTTGTGTAAACTCAACTTTTGTAAAGACTTTTATTATTCAAAGTTCTTGATAACTTTGTGCTAGTTTTCAAGTGAAGATTCAGAGCTATCGAATGATTTATAATAGTTTTGTTTATCTTTGAATACTCACCAAATACAGTAAAACAGTTAACAACAGCCGTTTGTTAAAGATTCAAGAAAATTTGATAAGATTTGTGCTTTGATTTTTGATTAAGTTTGATAAAGTTTGATAAAGCAAGTCTATTTCAAAGTAAATACGAAAACTGATAGTAGATTGGCTACAAGTTTAAGCCAAATCTATCAATCTATCAACAAAATGTGATCTTTACTCAAAAAAAGAGACTCTCGAAAATTTTATCGTAATTTATGACTTGTTTCCCTGGAATTGTTTCCCTGGAAAGATGTTTCCCTGGAAAGATTTATACCGGAAATAAGCGATAATCAAAATGACTGAAGAAAAGCAAAAGAAAGAGCTCTTTTTTGGGCTTTTTTGGGCTCTTTTTGTGCTATAAAATTAGAGAATTCATCGAAAGAGATTAGAAATGCTAATTTTAGAGAGGAGACTTCAATTTGACAACTTAGATTCGTCAATTAATTCAATTCAATTTCATTCAATTTCATTCAATTCTATTCAATGCTGGGAGAATTTTTGTGTAATAGAGAAGGCATAAAATGGCATAAAAGGCATGTAAAAGGCATGTAAAGGCATAAAATTGGATTTCTCTTTCAAAAAAGATTTGTTTTTTTTGGAAATTTCAAATCGATTAGTAATTTTAGAAAACTTTTACGAGATCATCGAAGATCTAATCGGGGAATGTGAAATACCATTTGGGGAACGGGTTTCTTCGAAGTTTGCGAAGCGAAAAGCGCCTAGACATTCTTTTTGCAGTCTCACGGGAAACGGCTGTCAAGTCGATCATTTGATTTTCGATTTTCGACAGAAACTACAGTAGACTCTTGGCTACTAGTTTGTGCGATCATAGCCGTCATAGTCATAATGACAGCTATGATCGCATAATGACAATCATAGCTTTCTTCATATCTCACAAAAGCTGTGCACTTGTCCAAAGACTATATTCATCTCTTGAACGAATAACGAAACGGGCTTTTCCCCAGTCCTTTCTCCAACAGAAATATCAAAAAAAGGATTATTAATAAAGTTTTTCCTTTTTTTGATACTTTTTGATAAAATTAACATAAAAACGGGTATTGTAATTGATAAGGATTGCAAAAAAAGCACAATACACTAGTACTGTGAGAAGACAGTACACTAGTACAGTGAGAAGACAGTACACTAGTACGGTGAGAACACAGTACACTAGTACAGTGAGAACACAATACACTAGTACCGTGAGAACACGGTACACTAGTACTTTGAGAACACAGTACACTAGTACTGTGAGAAGACAGTACACTAGTGCTGTGAGAACACGGTACACTAGTACTTTGAGAACACAGTACACTAGTACAATAGAATCCAATTCCAATTCACAGTTCCAATTCCAATTCATTGCTTAAAATTTTGCAATTACCATTAAAAGAAGGCTGGCTGATTCCGATTAAAAAGTCGCAGACAACACGTGAAATTAAGCCTTTTTTCTATTGATACTTAAAGTAGAAAAAAAAACCCTTTTCTCTTGGGAAAACTAAACGAGATTTGTGCATTTTTAGTTCATAATACTATAATACTTCGCACTAACCAGCAGAAAATTCCGTTGGAGATGCAGGAAACCCATTCAAGTGACCATTCAAACCACCGTAACCCATTTTAAGCCACACTCCTTTTTAAAAATCGACCTAAAAGTCAGATTCCCCATAGCCGATAACTCTTGAGAGCAAAAGCTGAATATTCGATGCTGAAAGCTTTTAATCGATGTGGCAAACGTAATTACGGAGCGTCTCGTTTGCCACATACAGACAGACAGACTGACTGACAGACTGACAGACAGACTGCCGTCTCTTCTGTTTTATATATAGTAGATACTTGTGCCTAGTTTTTCATTGAATGAATGTACACTAGACAGCTATTATTAGAGTGTGTCCCTTGCGAGTAATGCGTTTTTTAAAACGCACACTTGGGAAAAAATAACCGTACTTTTAGCAAAAATTATTGCAAAAAAATGACGCAAAAATCAAGAGCCCCTCATTATATACGACACTTTTTAAAGATACTCAGCCATTTAAATGATTTGGTGGGAAATTCCCTGTCCAATGTAAAAAATCATTTTTTTTTTTTTGAAAAGTCTGCGCAAAAAAATTTTCTTTTATATTTATATTTTGCGCAGGCGCACTATTTAGAAAACGCATTACTCGAGTAAAAAAATGACTCATGCAAATTTACTCGAGTAATTACTTACTCGCGAGGAACACACTCTAACTACTATACTATTGTTGCGTAAAGGTTCCTGCTAGATGAAATAGTGACCAACTGTTTTTAAAGGCATCATTTCGATGCCATTTTTAAAGGCATCATTTCGATTTCATTCCTTTCCTTCTTTCTTTTTTCTTGTACAAATTCTTGCAGGTTGAAATAAAGAAAGAAGGAAGGAAGGAAAGAAAGAAATAAGGAAAGAGAGAAAGAAACAAATAAGGAAAGAAAGAAAGAAAGAAGGAAAGAAAGAAATCAACCTGCAAGAATTTGTACAAGAAAAAAGAAAGAAGGAAAGGAAGAAAGGAAAGAAAAGAAAGAAAGAAAGAAAGAAAGAAAGAAAGGAAATAAGGAAAGAGAGAAGGACAGAAAAGAAAGAAAGAAGGAAGGAAAGAAAGAAAGAAGGAAGGAAAGAAAGAAATAAGGAAAGAGAGAAAGAAACAAATAAGGAAAGAAAGAAAGAAAGAAGGAAAGAAAGAAAGAAATTAAGAGCAAATGCAAAAGAGCAAAACAAGAAATATAGTAGTCGTAGAATCAGAGAATTTCTTTCAAATTTTTAGAAAGAGAACAGAGGAAAGGCTATATTTCGATGAAAAGGAGGGAAAGAGGGACGCGATGGAAAGGCGGGCCGATTCCCAGAAATGTCTCGGTTTTGCTCGGAGGTTTTTCTTTTGCCCTCACAATTCTTGGAATCTGCCCCTTTTAACGGAAAAACATTGCCAGCAAAAAAGCTGAGAGAAGAGGAAAAATGGGGTAAACTTTTTGTTGAACTTGATTTTTGCGTTTTTCACCTACACAATTTGATTTGGGGGACTTTCTTTTGTACAGTAGTTTTGTCAAGTTTGGCACTAGAAATACTAGAAACTAGAAATGGAGTGGGTTGGATTAGGGTTGGTGATTGATTTTGAGAGATTCCACGTAGACTTGTTGACTAGATTATGAAAAATGGCTTCTTGTCTCTGCTAAAACGTGCTTTTTGTAACAACTATCGTAATCTAATTTGGAAAAAAGATTGGTGATTGATCTAGAGCTTTCAGATAAGAAATCGAATAAGATCTCTTCTAAAAGTGAGACTAAAATATCGTAAGACAAGGGTAAGTAAGGGAAATCATGACGCATGACTAAGAAATCATGACGTTCCTTGAGGTGGAACAATTTCTGAACAACTTCTGAACAGTTCTGAACAGTTCTGAACGGTTCTGAACAACTGAACAATTTCTGAACAATTTCTGAACAGTTCTGAACAGTTCTGAACAACTTCTGAACAGTTCTGAACAGTTCTGAACAACTTCTGAACAGTTCTGAACAGTTCTGAACAACTGAACAACTTCTGAACAGTTCTGAACAATTTCTGAACAGTTCTGAACAACTGAACAACTCCTGAACAAACTCTTGAACAACTTCAAAAGGATTTCTATCTAAAATCAAGTTCTTTAGATCAGTTGTAACTTCAAGAACCTCATTTTTTCGTCTTTAACTTCGTTTGTTCTTAATTTAAAAAGATTTCAAGCT